TACTGCGATCTCAGTGATAGAAGCGCAGATTCAACAGTGTGTTAGGAATTAATTTACGTTCTTTACTTAAAAAACAAATGCCCAAATTAGAATTCTTATCTCTTGAAACAGCAGAGAATTCTAATGCATTTAGATTTAAAAAATGTCTAATAGATACTTTTGCAAGAATTAGCATATACTGATTTCAGCACATTTACTGATAAACATCTATTAGGTGTAAATCTTGATGGAGCAAACGTTAATCTGGGAATTCATACCAGTTTGTTGCATTACTAAAAAGTTTGCCTTGGCAAACCTTTTAGTAATGCAACAAACAACTTTGTATTTTATCCATCGACCTAAACTAACATTTTAGTTTAACTTAAATACTTAAAAACTTAACTTCCTTAAATTCTGTTGATGAATTATTATTACAACTATTATTTGTATCTAAAGTCACCTAATCTTGGTGCATTAAAAATCCCAATAATTCAGTATACTACTATAATACTATGCTAATATTTTTAAGCTCACAAATTTTATTTAAAACATAAAGTTATTCAGCAAAGTTGTCTATCAATCTTACTTTCCTTGGTCTTTTTTTCTTTGTGATACTTTAAGTCACCTGCATGCTTAAAACAATTTCAACTGAAATGATTGATGATAAAGATATCACCTAAAACTTTTAATCGTTAAGTATTAATAATGAAACCTTTTAATAAACATTTCCTGTTTCTGTAATCAACTTTCTTTTTAAAGAAACATGAAATTCTTAAACTTATCTTTCTCTGATCTCTTTTTGTTAGTTCTAATCATGTTCTTCAAATTTGATATGCTCACCCCAAAGATTTTTTTATAGTAACCTTCAAAGTTAATCTGATTTGTTGAATCTTTGAAGAACCGATTTTAGTTTTTTCAGATCAGAATTGTCTAGTTCTTAAGATTTTTTTTTAGTTGAGTGTCACAACAACCTTGCTTTTATCTAGGGTTTCTTAAAGGGATCCCTAAGTGCTATAAAGATATGATCTCATATGATAGAGCATTAAAAAAAAAAATGTTTGATGTATATTATTTTTTCTAAAACGTAATAATGAACACACACTAACAAATTTAATTTTCAAAAAAACGCTTTTCTTCAATTAAAAAAAATGCGCCTTGTCCAAAGTTTATTGACTCTACTGCCTCAAAAAACTAACGTTAGTACGTCAAATTAAACAAAGTAGACAAAATGTCATTATTGCAAACTTATTAATTGGTAATTAAATTTAAAAGTCGTTTTTTTTTCAACTAACACATAATTACTTACAAGAATAAGTTTTGTGGCATTTTGTGAAAATATATTTGTATATTAAATTTTTTTTTATAATATTAATTTATATATTTGTGTTATAAGGGCAATTCCACAGCTAAAAATGAATAGAAGTCAAATTTTAAACTCTTTTTAGTCAATTAAAAACAAATGAATATTGACTTAGACATGAAAGTTTATTTAAAATATTTCCTTAGTAAAAAAATAAATTTATTTCAGTAATTTTTATGGTTTCAAAAGTGACGGTTACTCTCATTTTTGCTTGATAAAAAAAAAAATGATTGTAAAATGTTTTAGTTAAATTAACATTCATGTTAAATTGCTATATTTTTTTGGTTCAAATTGATAAGGTTGAATAGACATTTTATTAGAAATTAAACTAAGACAGGGCTCGAATATGCAAAAAAATCTAATCGCAAAAAAATTTTTTTTTTTGTTTTTGCTCTCTCCCCTTCCCCCTCTCTCTTATAGCTCTCTCCCCCCCCCCCCTCTCTCTCTCTCTCTCTCTTATAGGTCGCGCCGATGTGCGTGAATGGGGGGGGGGGGAATTATCGTCAATAAATCAAAAAACATCGTCAAAAATTTAATAAAAAATTAGATACCATGTTTTTTATAATTTATTGTTTCTTGAATAAAGGACTAATAAAAGTTTAAATATAATTAAGTTTTTCATTTAAATGGTTGATGTTTTTAAACCAATAAAAGATAAAACAAAAACATTTGGTTTAATAAATCGAATTATAGTTCATGTTTAAAATAAGGCTTAAAAACGTTAAAGTAAAAAAATTGCTGGTTTTTATTAGCATTTTTATACTGTTTGAAAAAAAAAACTAATAAAAAAGAATTAACTAATAATATATTAATTAATAATTATATATTAATTCTTTTTTATTAGTTTTTTTTTTTCAAACAGTATAAAAATGCAAAGAAAAGTTTTTTTGCTCTAACGTTTTTAAGCATTATTTTAAACATGAAGTTTTGATAAACAAAGATAAAAACCAACTTTTCAACTTTTTGCTTTAACGACCTAGTAAAAATTTTCCACGCAGAGATTTAATGTAATTTAAATTCAAAAATGTTTTACGTTGAAAGAAAATCTCCGCGCGAAAGAGCAAATTATCTATTCAGAATAAAAAATTTTGTGTGACGTTCTTTATGATAAAAACATTACTTTGAAGAATTGCTAAAAAAAATGCTAAGCTAGGAGAAAGTAATTAATCAACCAAAAAAAAAAACGAGTCGCGAAAAGATTTTTTTTAATCACAAAAGTGTTTGTAGCAATCGCGATCGCGATACGCTTAATACGAGCCCTGTAAGACTTTTTTATAAGTTCTAAACTATTTAAAACCATTACTTAATAACTTTTTTTTTAACAATGTCTTTCAACCGAATGCTATTATACTGTTTTTGCAAAACTAATTTAAAAAACTTGATTAAAACTTAACTATTTAATCACGACTTTTTTTTACTTGAAAATCGAAGTAGATATTCTAAAGTTGTTGTGACGTACTAACATGATTTTTAACGACTAACAATCAAGTTTCAATGGTGAAAAAATAAAATCAAAATGGAGTTGTTTTTTAGTGATTTCGGCAATTGCTTTCTGTTAGCATGCATTTATTATTACAATTTAGGGAAAAAGAAAAAAAACTTACATATTTTTTTTATGCTCTTTCATATGAGATCATATGTTAGGAGCACTTAGGGATCCCTTTAACCTTAACCAAATCACTATCGCAGATCAGTTCTTTATTTGTCAATGTTTTTTAAATGCATGTACTAAAATCATCCATTTTGGTGGCTTTAGATTGCAGGTAAGCTATTATCCAGGAATACTTAAATTGTATGTGCATTTACAGAAGTGTACACTCAGACTTTTGGTCCTCTGCCAAATTAATTTTGGTGGCCCGCCAACTTTTTGAATTGCCCGATGCTATTTTCCATAAAAGTTTCTGGTTTTATTCAAAAATGAAAGTGATATTGTAAACTATTGATAACATTCACTTTTCTACTTTCAGACAAATTGTATGCCGATATATACACCATTTCACTTAAATTGAGCGTTTATGTTATAAATAAATAGACGCTCTTTTTTTACAACAACAAAGTATTGACAGATATAAAAAAAACAACTTACAAATACGTTAAAACCCTTTGCTTTTTATGTGCTGTAATGATTAATATCTTATTTGATACTGGAACCTGAAAACTATTGATATTTTGAAAGTATTTAAAAGCTATTGATTATTTGAAAGTATCATGTTTAATTTTAAACTGCGTTAAAATTTATTTTAGTAAAAATTATTAATAAAATCTTAATTCGATATTTGAAAATTATTATATTTTCTCATTTATTTATTTCTCAAAACAATCCTATGCTTAACATAATCTTTTGCTTTTTTTATCACAATTGATTTATTAGTTTTAATTTTTTTTTTTTTTTAGTATTTTTAATAAAGATTATAAACAATTTATAGATAGATATTATCAGTTATTAATAAAATATCTGTAAACGTAATTTATGTCCATAAATGTATTATGTCAAAAGAACTTGAATATTAATATAAAGATATTGAATTGAATAAAAGATATTGAATAAAATTTTTAGATACATTGTGAAAAAAATTCTCTTAAAAAAGTTTATTTTGCTTTCACATATTATATGACAATCTATGATGAAGAGACTTTTTTATCTAATGAAATCAGACGATAAGAAAAAAGCCTCCTTAATAAAAATTGCAAAACTATTTTACATTCAAATTTTATATTTTACCTCTTACTAATTTACATTCCTTCAAAACTAAATTAAAGTTTTGTAAATCATATTTAATATAAAGTCTTTTAAAATTAATTTTTTTTTATAAAAAAATTTGTTACTTTAAAAAATTCTTAGTTGTGTTTAAATGTTTTTTTTTTAAAACCTTATATTTTTATTGCTTAACTAACAGGTTTAAACAGGAGTGGCTTGTGATCGCATGCTGTAACTGCTGTAACCTATTTTTAATTGTTGACCTTTTTTAAATTTTTTTATTTTACATGAAGGCTTTAAATAAAATAAAAAATTAGTTATAGTTTTTTCTTTGAGTTTGAGTTTTTTGTGTTTTATTTTAGTGCTTATATTTCTTTTTCATAAGGAATTGTTTTCTTTTTTCTTTATTATAATTATTATTTTTTTAATTTTCTTCCTACTTTATGTTTAGCTTAACATTTCTTATTTCAGCACATTTCTAAAAACGTCTCTAAAACATACAAACAGTTGTGGTCAATTTTCTCAAACAAAAATAGCAAACCATTTGGGTGGTCAGCAATAGCGCTTGATCACATACCATTCCTGTCTAAGTCACAACTAAACGCTTTCGACTTTTGCGAGCAGCGTAACACGTAACCGTGTTGCGCTGTTATATTCTAATTAATAATAGAAAATGCAGAAAACAAACTTTGACTCTGATTTTCAAAATAAAGTTTTATTATTACTTTAGATAGTTATTTTTCTTTTTATAGAATTCTTGAATTAAAAAAAAAAAAAGCAAACTAGAACTGCAAAAAAAAAAAATCAATAACCACCCTTTTGGGCAAATTTATTGCATCAAAGGAATATTTTTAGTCGCCTTTCACAAAATTTGGTTGCCTGGTACCTTTGTGTGTGTGTGTGTTTGGTGTACCCTGGTACACAAACACATACACACATAACCAGATGATCTTTTTTTTTTAGTTTTGCCAGCCAGGAGGATGGTTTTCATCTGTTAAAAATCTTCCTCCAACTTTTTATGTTGCAATCCTTACTGATATTGAGGGAAAGTCCAATTACCTAGCTTGTTTGACATTTTATGAAGGAATATCTGTTGATACGTCAAGTGATCATCTTACTGATAAAATATGTTACATTCCAAAATGTTTATGCTTGGTGTCAAGAAATAAGTATTTCAATACACTTAAGGTAAGAAAATTAATAATTATCACTTATTACTAGACATAATTTTATGTACTTTTTGTAACTGTAGAAATAATTATTCTAGCAGTACTGTGGAAATGAACGTTTTTAGTTATATCTTATGAGTCAAAAGAAAACCTTTTGTATTTTTTGTCATAAAATAAGTTTGTTTCCATTGTTTTTGGATGTCAGCTTTACAAAATATTAAAAAAAGTTCAATATTTTTGTGAAATAAATATTCACACAAATATTGAATTTCTTTTATAACTATTTAATTTTTTTTTTTTTTTTACACAAGTGAATCACATAAAAACTCGAACAGTAATAAGTTATGAAATTTAGACCACAATATTTAATGATTTTTAATTGTTTTAGTATTAATTACATTTTCAAGTTATTAAATTTTTCTGTTCAAGCAATGCAAATTAAAATGTTTAAATCAAAATAGAGTAAATTAAAATGAATTCTATTGTAGGACAGTACAATGAAAGAGGTTGAAGTACAACATAAATTTAACAATGATAAATTGAAAAATTCAAACCATTATTTTTAAAGCAACCAACTCGAATTAATACTGTTTAGTGTGTCTTTAGCAATTCACAAAATTATCCATGTAATTATAAAAGATAAACTGTTTGTTTAAAAGATATTTTCAAATATTTGTTCCCTTTATAATAAGATGTTTGTTAATCTATCAGTTTTAAGTAAGAAAGTAATCATATTGTAGACATTTTTTTGTTAATTTCTTGGTTCAAGACAAATTTTAAGTATTGAATTTTGTAAGTTTTTAACTAAATTTTGAATTTTTATGGTTTTTTTAAAAGTGCTAGAAAAAAATTACAAAAATATGTGTTGCTTTTTTTCTAGCACTTTTATAGTTGTAAAATTATTACTATTCTTTACAAATTAAATTCTTATTACATTTTAAATTTATTAAAAATCGGTTTAGAAAAACTAAAAAATGATATGCTTTATGGAAATAATGAAAGTCCATTATAAAATTAATAATGACATTAATTTAAACTTTGAAATTTAATTACCATATTCTTCTAGACTAAATAAGTGAAAACAAGTTTTGAGAAAGTTTCATTCACCAGCAATCAATAGTAATATTACTTTTTTTTAAGAGATATCAATCTAATTTGATTTTAGTATCTTTAATTTTAATCTGGATTTCCGGATTTTTCAGATTGCGGAATTCCAGATTTTTAGAATATTTTGAAAGCATTATTTTCTGTTAAGTCCTGCAGTTCTGCAACTTAAAAATCTGCTGTAAAGATTATTTTTATAGTTATTTTTTAAATTCAAATTATTGTTGTTTTTATTATTTTGTTCTTTTTTTTTTTTTTTTTTTTTTTGTAAATGTATAGTTTTGCTGATGTATAGTTTTGGTTCATAAATTCTATCAGTGTGAACTGATAGAATTATAGACAAGACAACTGTGAACTCAATTTTTTATTCCATACTTTATATAGTGCTCTTATATTATCATGATTACATTTATACAGTTGGTTAGAAAGAAGATCTCAACTTAAATATTCATCATTCTAAGTTTTAGACTTATTTTACTATGATAAAAATTTAATTTTGGGTTGAAATTTTTAATGTAAATTTTATTTTAATTTCATTTTTATTATATTTAAATAACAGGATTACAAAAAAAAAAAAAGAAATTTTTCCAAAAATATTTTATAAGTATTAATAGATATTTTTTATTACAAAGTTGTTATTTATTTAGAACTGTTTATTGACTATTCTTGCTGGTTTTTTAAATGGCAAGTCTGAAATACTAGAAAAAATGATAGGTTGTATGTTAGGATTTGTTCATGTGCCTCCTCCTGGTGGTCCAAAACTAATGTTTTCCATTGGTGGCGGCGACAGTCAAGTTCTACAACCACCACTTTCAAAAGATCTGCCTTCCACCCACGAATCTGTTGCTGTACTGTTTAACCAGCTAGGTTTGTTTCATAGTAATTTAAATCTCCCCCTTTTTTTTTGTTTACTGTTTTTATCTCCCTTAGGCTAAGGGATTTTTTTACTCTTTTTTTTTAAATTGTTCTATAATTTTTTTTTTTTTTTTTTAACCCTATTCTTCAGAAATCTTGAATATTAGATTGAAAAAAAAAAAATTGATTCTGGTGCCACCAGTAATATGGTGGAATTGAAATTGTTACTTTTTACTTACAAATCAACTACTATTTCACATAAGCCATGAAATACATGCATAATATTAACTAGGCTGTCTTTATTGCGGTTTTAGGGAACTAAAAGTGCTTCAAAGTCTTAGTATTTTTTTTTTAATTTATAATAGTTTATATATTATAAATTTATGCATATATTTACTATTTATTAAATACTATATATATATATATATATATATATATATATATATATATATATATATATATATATATGTATATATGTATATATATATGTATATATATATATATATATATATGTATGTATATATATATATATATATATATATATATATATATTCACATATTTTTCACTTACAGGGACAGATTTTTGAAAAAAATGAACACTTACATTTTAGTGTACCCGTAATTTTTTTTCCCAGTAGGCATTTTTTTTTTTGTAAAAAAATGTTCCCGTAAGAAACTTTTATAGAGAACAAAAAGTACATCAAATAGCCTGACTTGCAAGGGAGTGCTGTTACATTTAACTGAGGGTTTGGTCAGGCATCAGCATCATGCTTAGGGTTAGGGTTAGGGCAAGGTTTAAATATGGTTATATTACTGTAATTAATATTCTTAATTAAAGTTCTTCTAACGATTCACTTTCTCTTCTTGACAAGGTCCAAAAATGCCTTGTAAATGTTGTTGGACTTGGACTATCTGCTAAGCTTGAGCCTCTTTCCCATCGTCGTAAAGTTGCATCTCTTTCTCTTTTCTACAAATACTATCATGGTCACTGCTCAAAGGAGTTATCATCTCTAGTTCCATCAACTAAAATTCATTCTCGTTTTACTCGTTATTCAGCTAAGTCTCATTTGTTTACTGTATCTGTCCCTGCATGCTTTAAAAACTTTTATTCATCTAGTTTTTTTCCCTGCCCTTCAATCCTTTGGAACTCTCTCCCATCTTCATGTTTTCCTGACTCATACAACCTTCAACTTTTCAAGTCTTCTGTCAACCGTTTCCTTGCTCTATAACTCTGTTCTTTTTTTTTCTAGTAACTCCTAACTTAATAGTGGTTGCTTGCAGCCTTGTTGGGAGTGAATGCAAATAAAAAAAAGTAATCGTTTTTATAAGTAAAATTAAAAATGAAATATAATATATAATAAATAAATAAAAATTACAAAAATCAATATAAAAAATATCTTTTTATAATAAAATATTAAATTTAAATATATATAAATAAAAGTAAAAATATGATAAAAATTAAAAAATAATTTTATTTATGATAAAAGTAGTATAGAAAAAGTAAAAAACAACAACAACAAAACAGGAACAAAAAAACATGTCCCTTAAAGTGGCGACTAGGAGGGTATATATATGTATATGTATATATATGTATATATATAAATATATATATATATATATATATATATATATATATATATTTATATATTTATTTATATATATATATATATATATATATATATATATATATATATATATATATATATATATATATATATATATATATATATATATATATATATATATAATTTGGCCTATTGCAATCACAAGTTGCGATTACTTTTAACCTTCGCGATTAGTTTTTCTTTAAAAAAGTATTTTTCACGATTGGTTTATTTTATTGGTTGTTCATATAAATTTTTTCTAATTAAGCATTTTATTTGGCAAATCTTAAAAGTAATGCTTTTGTCATAAATACATTGCGCTTTTTATCTTTTTTTTTTTTTTTTTTTTTTTTTTTTTATTTGTTAATTTTTTTTATTAGTTTATTTTTATTTATATTTTTTTTTTTATTTTATTAGTTTATCTTTTGAATAGAAGCAAGAGATCTTCTTCGCACATTTTCTCATTTTCACAGAGATTTTCATACAATGTAAAGCACTTTTTAATTTGAATTACTTTAAATCTCTGTGTGGAAGATTTTTTAAATGATTAGCAAATTTTACTAGCACTTAAATTTAAAGTGTTTTAAAACTCTCTGGTATTTCTGAAAATTAACTGGTAATTATTTTAATAAAATAAACATTTTAAAAAGCAAAAGGTATAAATTGCCAATTTGTGTTTATGAAGGAAGGGATGTGGTGGATCAGTAGGTTTTTGTAGTTTTATTTCCCAAAAAGTTAAATGTGCAATCAATATGTATAATATTACAATGAGCTGATATTTGTAGTAGAAACATTAGAAGTTGGGTTGCAACCATCAGTAGAAACATTAGAAGTTGGGTTGCAACCATCAGTAGAAACATTAGAAGTTGGGTTGCAACCATCAGTAGAAACATTAGAAGTTGGGTTGCAATTTAAGGTAAGTCTAGAGTATTTTTTTTCTGCAGGATTGTGCAATATCCTATTATGTCATAACTTTGAACTTAATTTCTTAACCTCTCGTAACCTCTCAAATCTTAATTCCTCCTGTGTAACCTCCTGGACCAAAGCAGGTATCAAAGCATTTATTCAATCTTGTTGGTTTTTAGTCAAGTCTCATTCTACTCCATTGTTTTAATCTTCTTGTGCAGCTGCTATATCTAATTGCAATAATTTTTTTCATCTTTTTTACAAGATCAACTGAGGAGAGGACTTGCAAAACCAGATAATTCACTCTTTTTTAAAAAAAAGACTTTAAAGTTTTTTTTTGTATTACTATATTCCTTCATTTTTACAAATAAAAATTAAATTTAAAAGCAACTATTTTGACAACATTTTACGTGCCTTAAATTATTTTGTCCATGCAAAACCAGATAAAAAAAAAATGATTGTCGATGCAAATAACAAAAATTTTATCTAATCAAATGTCTGTTTTAAAAATGTAAAAATGAAGGACATTTAAGAAAAAAATCATATACACAAAAACTCACCAAAATCACAAAAGCCACATTTAAACAGTGACAATTGAGTTTTAACCTCATCAATCCTATAAAAGTATCAAACATTAAAATTACTTATTTTCAAAGGCATTTTGCACAATTATATTGATTATTAAAGTCCTCGCTAGTCAAGTTGACTTGATAAAGCTTGTTAGAAATAAATTTCCAATCAAAACTAGATAAAAAAATAATTGGCATGCAAAACCAGATAAAACATTTTTTCATTTTGTAATAAAAATAAGATCAAAAGAGCATGATTTTCAAATTTTTGTCTTAAACATTCTTTTAATGATATCTATTGTTTAGCTCTTAGTTTTTTAGTTTTTAGCTATTCAATCAACTGAAAAACATTTTTTGCCATTATTCCAGAATGAAAAAAAGGTGAATTATCTGGTTTTGCAAGTCCCCTCTTTAGCTCTCTTAAGAACATCTTTTTGTAATTACAAGAAATCTACGTAATTATCATATACCTTAAATGTTAGAATGTAAGAAAAAAGGTTTTAAAATTGTCCTTGCTAAAACAAAATTGTTATTTTGTTGTAGCAAGGACATTTTTTAGGACAGCCTATTTAAACTTCAGTGTTTTTTTAAATATATATTTTTTTTGTTTCTAATGTTTAAATGCTAGAAATAGTATTACATAATGTAGTTTTTTTATGTACATTTTTTGTACAATATTTTTACAAAAAAAAAACTATATATTTGTATATATTTATATATCTATATATTTATCTATATACAGTATATATAATTTTATATAACATAATTTTGAACAAAAATACTTTAGGTATCAATTCTATGTTAAAAATATTTACTGCATTGGTAACGGAAGCAAAGATATTGTTACTTGCTTCAAGTTATAGTCATCTCACTATGGCTGCTGAAGCTCTTGTGTCATTATTATATCCTTTACAGTTTAGGTAACTTTTTTAGTACTATTCTCAAGTAAAAATCTTTACACATCTGTTTTAAGTTAAATATTTTTATTTTAGTTATGTTTTTATTCCTACATTACCGTCATCATTGCTAGATTTTTTAACTGCTCCAACACCATTTTTAATGGGTGTGCATATGTCATATAAAGGACTCATACCTGAACTAGTAAGTTTGTTTTGAATATTTTAAACAACAAATATTCAAATTTTTTAAATCAAAACAAAATGTTTTTGAAAAGCAGCTAATAAATATTATTTAGTCATATAAAAAGCAGCTAATAAATATTATTTAGTCATAAATATTATTATATAATAAGTTTATTATTTACTTTCGTTATTGTTTTTTATCATTAATTTTTTTAATTGTTTTATTATTTTTTATTTTAACTTAACTTAATAGACAAAAATATTTGTTTTTTATTAATTAAAGTTTTTTATTAATTAATTTATTATTTTTATTAATTAATTAAAGTTTTTTAAAAATTATTTTTGTAACCTAGCAATTTATTATTTAATAGTTTGATGTGGTTGTTGTGAATATTGACGAAGGTTATGTAACTGTTCCAGAATCCATTCATCTTACCTACATCTCTGAACCTTACTACAGTAATATTTTAAAGTTGTTAAAAATGGTACATTTATTTTATTTTAAATTTGCTCTCCATTTTTAGTATATAATTTAATCATAATAAATATATATTATTAAAACGGTCATGTATTATTAAATATATGAATATATGATCATATATTATTAAAAAGGTCATATATATATATATATATATATATATATATATATATATATATATATATATATATATATAATTTCAAAGGTTGTATTGAAAAATATATATTTATATATATATACATATACATTCAGCATTTAATTTTGAAAACTTACTGTTTTCATGCTTGTATCATGGTTTTGGGCATAAATTATGTTTGTTTTTTAACTAATTAATAAATTAGCAATCAAAGCTGTCTTATATCACAAATACTTTTTATGACAGCATTAAACTGAAATATCAAACCAACAATTTTCTTTTATTTTGGACATAATAAAAAAATAATTTTGTTGTAAATTATATATATCAAACCAGAAGCTTCTACCTTCACAGAAACAGCTAAAAACCAAGTTTTCAAATTGTTTTAGGCCAAAAAAATACAAATACTCACTCAGTGATACAAATAGTTGCATTTAGATATCATAATAATTGTTCATTGAAAATGGTTACAGTGATCTTTATTAGTTTTTTTTAATATTAAGTTTAATTAAATATTAATGAGTGACTACTAGAGTGTTTCATTCCTAAAAGTTTTCTATGCAACTATGTTGCATGCATAACAGGGCTAAATAATGGGCAAAAAATAAGTCTGTAAATTTAAAAAAAGTTTTGAATGTTATTTAGAGGTGGCTATCTTGAAAAAATGGTGTTTATTGCACTTTTTTCAATTATAAATTTAAATAACTTAAAAAATCAATGATTTCATGATATGTTTTTTTTTTTTTTTTTTTTTAATTCACCTCCTCAAGGCCGAGAAGGCCACTACAGACGAGGAGGCTACTTATTCGTGGCTATAACCCTCTCTCAACTCTATAACTCTGAAACACGAACCTTGACGAACAAGGCCGCTGCGCGGAGAAACGAGTTTACATGGTATATATAATAAAGGTTATCAGATCTATCTGCGCGGAGAAACGATGTTACATGGTATATATAATAAAGGTTATCAGATGAGCATTTGGCAACGTTTAAAAAAAGATTGGTCAATGTCTAGAGGTTGCCGTGTTATAAAGTTTCAATATTTAACATATTTTTTTTACTAAAACAATTGTACAATTTTAGTAAAACTAAGAAATACTAAAAAAAGTTGCAAAAAAAATTGACTACTAAAAGTCATTGCATGATTAAATAATTTTCATTGCGAAGTAATCATCTGTATGTATGTATAAAAATTTCATAAAGTTATAAAAAAATTGTTGGTTGATATAAATCAACTAACTATTTTTTTAACAACTATGATATTGATATTTTTTTTTTTAATTTTAATTCACCTCCTCAAGGCCGAGAAGGCCACTACAGACGAGAAGGCTACTTATTTGTGGTTATAACCCTCTCTCAACTCTATAACTCCGAAACACGAACCTTGACGAGCAAGGCCGCTGCGCGGAGAAACGAGTTGAGCGCGGTACTACCAGGGACGTGGTGGGGATCGAACTCGGAACCACTCATTTATGAAGCGAGCGCTCTACCACTACACCACTACTGCTCGATATAATCAATTAGCAAAGTTAATGTTTTTAAAATAATTTTGAAACTAGTTTGTTAGATAAGCAAATATTTTATTATAATGAAGAGCCTTATAAAAAATAATCAAGATAGGTTAATTGGTCACCCTGAATCTGATAAATTATCAAGCTTTATTTGCCTACCAACAAAAAAACATGTGTTAGGCAGATCATTTATGTTTTTTTTTCAAAAAGTGACACTTCTGCCAGAGATATTTTTAAACTTTTTCTTGGTGAGCTTAAGGAAGTTTGTGAAAAAGCTGGAATACCAATTTGATCATCTTGTCTTTCATTGCTTACCAAGTAATTGGGGAAAAAGGTGAAAATAAAGAAAGTTGTCAGTCAAGTTGAAATGTTGTAAAAGAAAAAATAGTCAGATTTTATCATGAACTTGAACAATTTTGCAACATTTCAGCAGTAAATGCATATGAACAGTTGTTGATATCATGTAGACCAAATGGAAGATTAAGCATTTTATGAAAATCAGAAAAGTAGCAGAAAGTATCACATAAAAAATAGCATCAATCGTTTCAAAATTTTTAAAACGTCAAGAAGCTAGACTTGAAAATATGTGCAAGAGAAAACAGTTTTGTCAATTAAAGCTGACTAGGAGATAAACAAACCAAAAAAAACTGTTTTGCACTGGTATTTGAAGCTTTTTCATTTAAACATAACTCATAATGAAGAACATGTAGCAGCATAAGCGGATCTCATAACGAGTACTTATTGATTTATATAAATCTTATTTATATTTTTTTGTTTTCGAAGATGTTAAATTTTATTTGCAGACCAAAACTTATTGATTTACCTTTGATTAAAGATTCAGCTGGTAAAATGCAATGTGATGTGGCCATAAAACTTGTTCAAGCTTGGAATATTTTGGAAAGCATTGTTGTGATCTGCCTAATAGCAAGCCACACAGGTAAAATGGAGCAACAACTTTAATTGAAATTAATTTAAAAAGAACTCTTTTTTGGCTAGCATGCTGCCATCACCATAATGAGCTACACATCAAACATGCCTTGACCTGAAAATATTTCCGCACGAAGACTCTCTTGAGTTAATTGAATTAATTTTTATCTATGTTTAGGGAAAACTATCAGTGGATAGAATGTTCAAAATTCACAATGCAAGATTTATGTCATTTCTATATATTTTTTAAAAATGGAACTCTTATCTGATAAATTTATTATGTCCAGTAATAAGCAAATTATAATCCACCGTACGGGATGATATCAGTGAAGTTTATTAATCTTTTTTATTCAATGCAATTTCTACACTCAAGGATTTCCCTATTTGCTCTATTCGATGACTTTCAATTTTTTGCTGCTGTGATTTTATCTTTATTTAATAAAAAATTGTCAGACTTTACTAGAACAATAATGGCAAAGAAACTTTTTTCTACCCCAAGACCAAAAATTTTTTTAATTGGGAAACCAAAATTTCCGCTATTAAATTTTTTAACCTTTTCTTTATTTTTTTAAATTGACCACGGTCTTGGCTTCTTTTTGATTTATTAGAACATATAAACAACCAGAAATGGCTCCAGATGAATCTGCAAGAGTGGAAATTCTTCCAAGATTATTGAACTGCAGAAAATTTTGTTAAACAATTAGAGGTAACATTAGATTGCACCAAAAAAGGATTTTTAAAAATAATAGGCTTTGTAGCTTTATATTTTAATACAGTCAAACGTTCATCTAATAACCATTGATATATACATTAAATAGCGTAACATAAAATTTATTATTTTTTAAGTTATTCAAAATTCAAAAAGTGTAAAAAAAACAACCATAGTTTTAAGATGGCGACCTCTAGATGACATTTTAGAATTTTGAAAAATTTACAGACATTTTTGCCCATTATTTAACTTGTTATGCATATAACCTAGCCATTTTCAAAAAATTGCTGGGAATAAAACACCCTAGTGACTATATTTTAAAAAAGTTAAATAATTAACTGAAATATGAAATGAAAGTTATGTGTTGAATCATTAGAATAAGCTAATTTTTGTTATGGAGAAATTAATCAGTTTTACAAATTTCTATTTAAACTTTATTAATTTGAAAATTGTTGAATTCCACCAATAACAAGAGATTAGTAGTTTTAAATAACTATTTTCATATCATTAGTTTACAAACAGCAATTGCATAATCCATATGTTGAGTTATATCTATATGTTAAGTTATATCTATATGCTGAGTTATATTTATGCCTTATATTTGAGTACATTTATAGATTTATTAGGTTAATTTTTTAATCATTGCAAATTTTTATTTATGTTGAATTTAAACTTTTTTTTTTCTGTTAAAATATTCAATAAAACTTTATTTAGTGTATGTAATTAAGTAATTATGTAAGTAGTGTAGTAAAGTTCACTTTATGTATTTGTTATATCAATTTCAAAGTTAAACTTTTTTTTACTGTAATGTTTATGTTTAATTACTAAATAAATCTCAAGAAAACAAAAATTTTGATTAAAAAGTTTTTGATTTGTAAATTTTTTTTTTTTTTTCACTTTTTATTTATTTTTTATTTACTAATTGCAAAAAAAATGGAAAGATAATTATTTATTATTCTTTAATTTAGATATTGACACCGTCACTTTTTACATCTGATTTGTTATTTCCGGTACCAGACTCTCCACAAACTCTTGCTCTTCAGGTAAGTAAACTTCTATTTCATAAAATCTAATAGAAATAAATCAAAAACTTAAAAACGCTAAACGACAGGGACCTGATATGACCAGAGCTGGGTCTATGTACGTACAGTGGGGTTATGAAAAAAATTTTTTTGGCATGTAGTAGGAATAAATAAACATTTTAATACTGATCAAGAAAATCACATTTATTGCATTTCATAAAAAAGTTCTTGCACCAAGACATCTGACAATATAGTGGGTAACATTTGATAGAAAGTTAAGAAAGTTTAAAGTTTTTAAATAAAAATCAATTTTTTTTTAATTTATTGTAAAAAAACTAACTGTAAAAAAGGCACTTTTCAAGATATTTTTAAACAATATCTTTTTTAAGAAGGTCACATTTGATAAAGATTGTTTTTTTATAAAATCTCTATTATTTGAATTCATTTGACACAGTCCGCACACTTATATTTACGATGTAGGGAAAAAATTAAAATGGTAGCTTCTTAATTTGATAAAGTATCAGATAGTATACAAAAAACCTATATGAAGTTGTTTAAAACAAGTTTAAAAAGAGAAAATACAAATAATTTACCAGAAAATACAAATAATTTACCAGAAAATACAAATAATTTACCAGAAAATATAAATTGTCAGATATTATTCCAGTTGGCTGATAAGAAAAAAAAAAAGAAAAACACTCACTAGCTAAAATAAAAATTGAATCATACAAAAACCCAAGTGATAAGCTAAAACAAAAATACTAATCAGTAAAGATAAAATTAAAGTTATGAAAATTATAAAAGAAAACTTTAATATATACAAGTTCAAAAATGAAATTTTAAAAATGATAAAGTTTTTATCTCAAAAAAATTACAATGGTAACAAACTTTAAGTTTTTTATAATTTTTCTTAACGGTTTTAACATAACACAATCAGATTGCCAAAATTGACATTTAACATAACAAAATGCAAAGTTAGATTTTAAAATAATTCTAGTTTTTTATTTTCTTCTTAACATATATTGAATTTACTGTTTTTTAAACAATAACTATTAAGGTATTATTTTGTTCAATTTAAAATCATTTGATGCATTGGTCTCCAGCAGGTATAATTTTAAAACACAATGCTTCTGTACACTCAATCTTGAGCTGGCATTAAACAAAGAATTGAGCAAAATTTTCTACTGTTGTTTATGGCCCCACAAAATCAACACAATCTTGAGTTTTCTAGTCAAATAAAATTCGAGGTTAGAGTGACGAGGTTACTAATGTCAATATACACAATTCCATTATCAAAATGTTCTTTGTTATTGTGATGATAATGAGATGTGCTATGCTTTTTAAACTATCATAAGTACCTTGTACATTAGTATTTTCAATATTATTTGGGATGATATCAGTGAGACTTTTAGTATTTTTTTTTTTTTTTTTTTTTTTTTAGTGTTCTATTTTCCTAAAGTATTATTATCATTTAAATTATCAGTGAGTTTATTTATGTAGAAGTCAATATTTTTAATGTTAGTGTTATCTATGTGAATTATATTTATTTCAAATAATTGGGTATTAAAATAAATACAATCTGATAAAACAAATGCAGTTTTTTTTAGTATTAATAATGTTAATAGACAGATGACTTGCATCAAGATTTTGATTTACTAGCACTAACAGGACAACTGCAATATTCTTTTTCAGGATTAAATCAATTGAAAAGTAAAACAACTGATCTCAAATAGTCACTATTTTATTTTTTTCTTTCTTAATTGACTTTCCCAAGACTGACAAGGTCACTACAGACGAGGAGGCTATTTTAGTTGTGGTTACATTCCTCTCTCAACTCTATAACTTCTAAACATGAACCTTGACAAACAAGGCCACTGCGCAGAGAAATAAGTTGAACGCGGTACTGTTAGTCACTAACTTTATTAAGTGAAACATCTTGTCTGATGACCATTCAGCTGTAATTTTAGGATTTTTAAATGAGACTACATTGAAAATACATTTTTCTAATCAATAACAATATTTAATACTCTATTAGGCTATTGTCTTGAGTTTATTTGTTAGCTTTGGATAACGTAAATACATTTGCATTTTTTTTTTAGATTTTCTTGAAAGTATCGCTTTTTATAAAAATTATTTATGTTTTTAGTCGCTGTGAATTAGGATCTAATATTAGCAGTGACAGTAGTGTTTAGTTGATTTTTATATAACAAAGTTACCATCTTTACTTTTTTTCCTACATCAAATTAATTTTGAGGCCAGACCTCTGAAATAAATTTGTTTAATAAAATTTCACTTCTTTTGAGGCCCAACATGATATAGTGATTATGTGAGGAAAATATAACATGATATATGTGAAGAAAATATTTTTAGTAAAATATAACACCATATTGTTTTTTTTTATTTTAACTTTTTTTTAGAACTTTTTTTTAGAACTTTTTTTAGAACTTTTTTTTTTTTAGAACTTTTTTTTATTTCAACTTTTTTTTAGAACTAACTCTAATAATAATTAATAAATAATCAGATCGCAAAAGTTCATTATTTATGACCACAGGAGATACAAAAATTTGGCAAAAATATTTTTAAACATAACCCTAAGATACAGGTCCTTGTTAGATTTAATGAGTTGTAAGATACAGGTCCTGATTAGATTTGATGAGTATTATATTTGAATTATTTGTGGAAGGGGGTGAAATCTTTTTGAATAAAATTTCACCAAACTCTTGATTTATTACTCTTTATTATCTCTTATTTTAGCTGTTGTTGTATTGTTGTTATAATTTTGGATTTAAAAAGTATTTTCCTAAATCACATTACAATTTTACACTATCAGAATAATGATTTTTTAACAGATTTTCCAAACAAAAATATTTAAACTAAAAATCATGCATTTTATGAACTACAACACAATGAGCCAGGCCAGTTTTTTTTTAAAAAAAAAACAAATTTAGCTCAGTAAAACAGTATCCTACTCAATCCATACACAAGAAAAACATCATATTTAGTACCTTATTAGGTACATAATCTGATGTTATTATTATTTATTTTATTTAGGTCTTAGTAACTTTTTTAAGACCTTTTTTTCAATTTATTTAAAAAATCATCACTTTTTTCTTAACGTAACTTCTAAATCAACCACTTATAAAATGTTATTCAGAATAAGCCTTTTTATGATTTTATTTTTAGGATAAAGAACTTCGTGCAGTGTTTATAAAACTTTTTGCTGAAATGTTTTGTGGTTATCGCTCTTGTTTAACATTAATTAGAGTTCACCCAAAACCAATAATTTCATTCAACAAGGTAAATTAATTAAAATTTCAAAATATTGTTTTTGTACTATTTGTAAATTAATTTTATACTTTTATTAGATTTAATAATTTTTTGTATATTTGTAATAAAAATTTAAAAAATAAGTTAATAAAGTAAAAAAAAAAAAGTCAATAAATAATGATGCAGGACTATAATTTCCTGATCTAAAATATGATATTTTCATTATCTTTATATTATTTATATATCTTTGTACTGTTAAGTATAAAAAAAAAGTGTATAAAATGAGAAAAATCAAACCAAAAATATTAGTAAAAAATCAATTATGTATATTTATATTACATTTAAATTAATGCATATTTATTGAATTTATATTTAATTAACAGTAATTGTTTTCACCACTAAAATAAATATGAAATGATTTTTTTTCTATAAACACTATTGATATAAATATTACTATAATAATTTATAAAAAATAATTTTTTGGTACATTTATTAGCTGCTATATATAAACTGCTATAAATGAAACAAAAACATTTATGAATCATGATATTAACCATTTATTTATTATAATATTGTTTATATCTACACACACACACACACACACACACACACACACACACACACACACACACACACACACACACACACACACACACACACACACACACACACACACACACAGAGAGAGAGAAAGAGAGAGAGAATAAGTCAGTTTACATTATCAATTTATGTTTTCCACAAAAATAAAAGAGGGTTTTATAGATAGGGGAGAGTGGGGCCACGTTTTTTTATAAGCGATTAGTACAATTTATAGATAAACATACCTTCAAAATTCAATTCTTAAATTACCAAAATAAAAGAGGTCAAACTTGTAAAAACTTATTAAGTAAAAGTTGAATTTTGTATCAAGGTACCCCACCCATGGGGCACCATGTTAATACATGTTAGTACAGGAACACCATGAAACAGGATAATAAAAAAATTATAATGCGTAGGAAAACAAAACAAAAAATTTATACATAAAAAAACAACTTTTTCTTAAGACTCAATATAAATTTTTAAATTTAAGAATAAGAATCACGTTCATCACTTAATAAATTACTTTCAAAAAAATATATATATTGTTTTTTTCTAATAATAAGATCGAGTTTTTGTTGGTATACCTGTTGCTATTATATTGCTAGCTTTCTCCCCTTTAGAAATCCATTAAACTGACAAGGCTTACAAAGTTAATAATTTAAGAATCATTGGTTTGACTTGTACTTAGCTTGTAACTGGAAAAAAGGTTTTTAAAGCTTTTCTGGTGAAAGTAACAAATTATTGGTATTCAGAGTTTTTCCAGTGTTTGATTGATATGTACTTGGATTGTTTCTATTAGTAACAATACTGCATAAAAATCTGCTTCTGAAAATACATTCTTGTCAAAAAAAAATATTCCACTTTTTATAAATCCACTTTGAATGTTTGTGATAGTAAAACTTTTTTCATATGCGATGTTAACACAAAATGCAATTTCGTACATAGTGATTCTCCAGGTATGAATTAGAACACTCACAGTGATACTCAAGGATGATTTAGAAGCCAAGATTTTACTGTGTCATTGTAATAAACTTTAAATGGAGCAAATAGATAAAAATCTAAGGGCTGCACTTTTTGACTACTATGTGGTGGTATAGTAAGAATAGTAACACCATTACATATAATGAGATTAAGAGATTTTATAGATTAATGGCTCTCGTGATTATCAAATAAAAGTAGAGATGGATTTTCCTTGGACAATAATGTTTTTGATATAAAATGTTGAACTACTTCTACAAATAACTCTGTATTCATCCATCCAGTTCGATTTGCAAGACCAAGAAATCCAAATGGTGCATTATTAAGCATATGTTGCTTATAGTTCTTAAATTTACAACATGTGTTCATAATACATTTGAGAGCACGTTACAATCTACTGCTTCAAAAGATTTCCTTGCTCTTTAGTAAATACTCTTCTTGAAGAAAAATTGAGTTTCACAGTAATGGTTTCTCTTTTTATTTCTTTTGTCTTTTCAAAATATCTGCATACATAAAAACACATTTTTAGAATTTGCTTTTAGTCACAAACTTATACAAGTTTCATTTACTAAGTTGGACAAATATTTATTGTTGCAGAATACATAAGCATAAATTACCTGCAAAGGGTGCTGTGATTAAGATTCATTTTTTCTGCATTTGATGAACACTTGTTAAATTTTAAATGAACACCCTCCTGTTAAAACTAAATCAATAGCTACCTCCATTGTACTACTCAAGAAGGTTCCTTTACTAGTTTTTCAATAACAAAGAGGCTTTACAGTGTATAAAAATTTAATTCATGGTCATATCATGATTTGATACCACACTGAGCTTTATTTACACCAATAGATTTTATATATTATTAGAAATCATAAAGTATAAAAATATAAAATAAATGAATGTTAGTCCTTCAACAAAAAAGTGTTCATAAATACCTTGATATAATAAAGCAAACTTATATTTATATAAACTTGTGTAACTTATGTTTATGAGACAAAATTAATTTTATTACTCTATAAATACATCATCATACTACATGCATAAATACTGAATAGCATAACATTTATTTTTACTACATAAACTTTTGTTACCAAGTTAGGTGAAACATTCACGAATAGAAGTCAATATTTCTTACCTGGAATTTAGTCGTCTTTGCAATGACATCGCAAATGGAAAACGCTTTTTTCAAACGGATAAAAACAACTTTTTAGAGAGGAAAAAGGAAAAGAAAACATTTATAAATTAAGCCAATAATAAAATCAACTAAAAATAAATATTTTAAAACAAGAAAAGAAAAAGAAACATGAAAAAAACTGAAAGAAAATAAATAAAAAGTATAGAAAATAGAAGTTAAGAGAAAAAGTTAATGAATGAAATAAATAAAAAGAATGGAAAAAAATGGAAAAAAAATTTTTATACATCGAAAAAAGATCGGAAAATGAAGATTTTTTTATATATTTCTTTTGTTTTATTTCATATATTTCTTTAGTTTTCTTTCATATTTTTTAAGGGTTCTTTATTTACGATTTCATTTTATATTTAAGCGGTCTTGCAGTAATGATTTTTCTTTAGTTTTTTAGCGTATAAAAATTTACTTATTATTTTTGTTAGCTATTTATTGTTTTATTTTTTAGTTATTTAATTATTTTTAAATAGTGACATCTAATTTTTTATAGTGTTATAATTTTTGTTTTTATTTTTGTTTTAAGCATTTATTATAAATGTTTTATTCTACCGTGTATTATTATTACTTTTTTTTTTCTTTTTTATTTATTTTTTTTAATTTATGTTGTTCTTTTCTTGTAGTTGTTGATGTTGTTTTTTGTTTTTATTGCCAAATGAACTTAACGTAAATTTTTGTTTTGCTTGTAATGTTTGTTGTAACTTTTGTTTTGCTTTGATTTTCTCAGTATTTTTCTTTTTTGCATTCTATTTATTTACTTTGTCATATTATTTGCTATATATTTCGGTTATTATATTATAAGAAAAATATATTTAATAAATCTTTATAATTTTTTTTAGCAGTGGTTGTTTTTATGTCATTGTTAGTTGTTACGTTTTGTCAGTTAATTACTGTTTGTAACTGTAACTTTGTATGTAAAAGCGATTGTTGTAGGGAAAGTTTTACTGATTTATTTAAATTATTTTAATTACTATATTATTATTATTATTATTGTAAATTTTATCTTTATTATTATTACTATTTTATTCGTTATCATTAGGTGTTTATGTGATGTTAGTAGTTTATATTATTTGTAAACAACCTTGAAATGTAAGACCAAATATTTCAGAAATATATATTGATATTGATATTGAATTAATTATAGTATGCTTGACTATCGAGTAATTTACAAAACGGTACATTTGTTTAGTTTCATGGTGCCCTACTAAAACTGTTTCATGATACCCTATACATGCTGATAGAACAAGAAAAAAAATAGAACAAGAAAAAACTTGTTTTTGTTTTTCATAAAATTATTCTATAAAATATCTTTGCCACACTGAAGAGCTTATAAAAATATTAAAAGATTGTTTAAAACACTAATCTATTTATATTGTGCATTTATCAAAAAACCAATGCATTTATATTGCATCTTTATTTATTAAAACTAAAATACATTGATAAAAACTTTAAATGAATGAGTTTGATACTTTATCTAACTTTATAATTTTATTTTAAAAATTTTATTTTTTTATAATTATTAGGTTGTTACAAAAGCTCCTAAATGTATCAAGTTGTTTGGTGTTATTTTTTATTCTATTTTTTCAGTTATCATTTTATAGTTGTTAACCTCAACACAACTACAAAATTGGTTTGTTAAAAAAGGAAAAATTTCTTCAAGCCACAAAGTATTAGCAACCTAGCTTTATGTACACAATGATAATCTAAAGTTTTAATATATAGTAAACTAGGCTATGATTTCATTTGTTAAAATAGAATTAATTTAAAAACTTTAAACTATTGAATTAATAAATGTAAATCAGAGAGCCAACATAATCATTGCTCTGTAAGATTATTTTTTGTTGTAACATAAATTAAATACAGCTGACTAAATTTTTTTTTCATATTTAAGTTATATTATTATAATAGTAGTTTTATTTATTTAGATGGCATTTATGGAAAAACGGGGATTAGTTGGAGACGATTTTTTTAGCAAAGTATGTTTTTTTATATATATACATATATTTGAATGTAATTAATTAAAAGTTTTAAAATTATTAATGGTAATATAATTGCATTTTTTGTTTTAAAAAACATTGTACTTAAGCTGTCAATAATTATTTAATAGAGTTGTTTAAGTTTAAAATGTCACCAATTAAAATTTTTTTAGGGGTCCTGGCCTGTGTTCTACCCAGACATAGTTCCATACCATTTAACTAGTATGGGCACCCAAATAAAAGCAAATAAACTCATAAAGAATTGTCATTTTTGTTAGCCGCACATTACATTTTATAAAAATTATTTATTTACATGAATTTAAGGAATAATTTTTATATCATTAAGAATTAAATTGTGTTGTTATAATACTTTACACCGCGTTCTTTTTAACAATAGCTATAACAAAAATTACAAATAAAATCTAAATTCGTTATTTGAAAAAGATTGTATTTCTTTTTTATTTATTTCACAAAAATATTTTATACATAACATCTTTTAATTTATCTAAAATTTTTTTTTGTTGCTGTTTTTTTACATATTAAATAAACAAGAAAATATAATTTTTATTCATAAATTGCATGTCATAGAAGCTTAACAAGAATTTTAATGAGGAAGAAAAGATTTAATTCCATTAGTGAGAAAAAATTTTTTAAACAAAAACGCTTCTCCTTTTTTACAACAAATGATGTTTTATGGTTGCTTTTACACAATTAAATCTTTGATGGAGACTTTTGTAAAATCTTAACATTTTGGCATAATGAAAGTTAGAAAATAAGTAAAGAGAAAATAGTTTGTTAAAAAGTATTGCAAAATCATTTTAGATTCTTTCAAAGTTAAATTTTAATTTTTAAAACCATATTTAATTAAAGTTTTTTTATTAAAAAGGAAAGTTAATTAAAAAATTAAATTAAAAAAGAAAAAAACAAAATAAAATAACATTTACATTTAAATAAATTTACATTTTTTTTACAATAATTTAATGTAATTAAGCATAAACAATTAATTTTTTTTTTTTAATATTCCAAAGGATTAAAGATTTTGTTAAGCATGAATTGCTAAACATATAGGTAAAATAAAAATGAAGTGCGTACTGCATAATGCTTCATAAGTTGGCCTTAGTTTAAAAGGCCTTTAAAAAAATTGAAAGTTAGCCCAACAATTTTTTTATAAAAGACCTTCTTTTTTCGACAGGTATGACCAAAAATATTGCTGGGTATGGCACTGCTGGTCATGACGTTAAACTAATCTTATATCAGGGCAGCTGAGGTCCTTAACCATAATAAAAGCAATTTCACCACGATTAAAGAGCCTCTCCTTCCCCATTATTAACTCCAACCCACATTTAATTGTGGGTAAGCAAGGACGAGCTTCTAAACCTTAAATGAAATTTGAAAAATTTTACTTTATGAAGGATTATTCCTTTAGATAAAGAAATTCTTTTTTAAAACTATTTATTACAAATTTAAGTACAAATTTTCCCTCAAACTTGTCGTTTTTGAAACTGAATGCTGCTAATTTGTCAGTTATGTCTTCATTGTCACTGTCTATTTCATTGTCGTCATCAAGCATTTGATAATCAATGTTTAAATCAATGATAAATATTAAAAACCTTCTTAGTTTCTTTTTGGAATGTCCTTGAATTCTAAATAGCAGTAACATTTTTAATCTAATTTAAGACAATTATTAATTTTTTATTGAGTTTTATCTTAAATGTTTCTACTGTTTAGAATGTCAGCAATCAAGGAAATTCCAAAAGGAAACAAAGTTAAAAAGTAAACAGCTAATTTCTAAAGTGGAATATTAACTATTTTAACCAAATATCGGGTGGACACGGAAAAATCCGGTCATCTTTAAATTGAGATTTCTCCAAAACCACAAATGCTTTTTATTTAATTTTTTTTTAATTAAACCTTACTTATCTTAAATGGTGTTGATAATTTTTTGTTTACAAATTAATGATTTGCAAAATTGTTTTGGAAACAAATTGAGGTGCGTAAAAAAGTTGTGAATTTTTTTTGGAAAAATCCATCTACTTCCTATCGCTTGATTGCTAAACGCACAAATGTCCCAGAATCTACAGTCATAGATATTATAAACAAGTTCAAGACGTGAAAGAAAAAAAACTTTCCATAAATCCAAAAAGGTAAAGTCGATTTTACGTTCAATAGCAAGAACGAAAGATTTTTCGTTCTTATATCAAAAAAGTACTTAAAAATGCTGGAATTAAAGCATTTCATTAAAAAAAATGCATCCAAGAGAAGCTTAAATTGTGGAATAAAAGGAATTCGACGCGCAAAGAAGTTGGTTAAAATAAGACCGGATAAAAATATGCCATAATTGAAAACGACGAAACGTATTGCAAGGCGGATTTTTCACAACTTCCTGGTTAACAGTTTTACTATGAAAACAAAGATAAACCTTTCGATGATCAATTTAAATACATTCGACGAGAAAAATTTGCATCCAAGTTCCTTGTGTGGCAAGCAATTTGTAGCTGTGGTATGCAGTCCTCTTGTTCTGTCACTAAAAAGACCTTGACTGCCAATCTCTACATCAAAGAATGCCTCCAAAAAAGACTTTTGCCTTTTATAAAAAAACACAAATACCGATATCTTTTTTGGCTCGATCTTGCTGCCTCTCACTATTCTAAAAAAGTTCTACAGCGGTGCAAAGATAATAATGTGAAAATTGTTCCTAAAGATGCGAATCCTCCAAATCGTCCTGAAGAGCGCAAGATTAAAGATTTTTGGGCAATAGTTAAAGGAGTTCTTTGTAAGAGAGGTGGAGTAACAAATAATAAAAAGGACTTCAGAAAAAAGTGGATTAATGCCACCAATATGTTGAAAAAAGAAAAATTCTGTGAAATGATGGCATCAACCCGCTATAAAGTTCGATTTCTTGCCAAACAACCCATCAAGCCCCTTAAAATTAAGTTGAAACTCTAATTTATGTAAACACATTTAATAATAAAAAAATTGAAATAAAAAGCATTTATGGTTTTAGAGAAATCTCAATTTAAAGTTAAACGGATTTTTCTGTGTCCACCCGATACACTTGGAAATACAGTTTAAATAGAAACATCCGCAAATGAAATGCGAATAGAAAATTACTATACAAACGCAATTTTTCAATTCAAATTGTATTTCCAAGTGTATTTGATTAAAATAGTTAATATTCCACTCTAAAAAAAGAAATCAAATTAATTTAAAATTGTTCATTCATTATGTTAGTGCATAATATAAACATACTTTCTACATTAATTTTATATCAGTGCTTTTTTAATTGAAAGAAAACAGAATTTTATTGTTAAATTAAACAAGTTTAATCTTTAATTTAAAAATTTTTATCAAAAATATTTTATAAGAAATCAGTTAAACAACTTATTTTCTTACTCTTGAACTAAGCGAGATTTTTTGAACTTTTTATTGTTGTTTTTGTTGTTGAGAGTTTTGTCAGTATAAGCTGAATGACAATTGGTTATTGTCCTTTAAAGATTATATTTTTACCAGTATGTTTCATGTAAAGAGAGCAATCACACTTTATTACAATCCCTGAATTAGAGAGAGCAATCATGCTTTATTACAATCCCTGAGAGATTGAAAGAGAGCAATCATGCTTTATTACAATTCCTGAATTATAATTTAGTTAATCTAATAATCAGTTTGATTTGATTAGTAAATTATAGTCAGTAAAGTCATACCAGGAATTCTAAGATAAATTACATTTGTATGCAGTTATATAATTGAACTTTTCTCATGTCATATGTTGCATTTTTCTATTAATTAGTTTTATATTGACTCATTTTTTATCAGTGGTAAAAAGTTTTATTATGTTGCTAATAAAAATAACTTTTCTAATATTGTTGTTGCATTTTACTTTTTTAAACTGTTGACTTATGATCAATCAAGTCAACAGTAAACCATTTTGCTTTTATAGTGCTATTTTTGCATATTTCTTTGTATATTTTTTTGTTTATAAACTTTTATCTTTTTTTTTTTTTTATGCAACTATAAAACAAATATTTATCAAAAATCTTAATAAAATAGTTTAAAAACAAAGATTACATGTTTTGTTAAGTGTATCAGTGGTTAATCACATACTTTTATTACCAATTCACATTAATCATCAAGTCTGCAGGATTTTACACTACACTTCGAATATACCAGGATATCTCTCTAAAAATGTTGTAAGGATACACAACAGTGACAGATTATTTGTTAAAGCCAAAAATAAAGCACAATTATTTAAATATTAAAATTTTTTATGAATGTGACAATTTAAACAATCAACCTAATATAATCAAAGAACACATATTTGTACTGAATAAATACTTTTTTTTTTGCTGATTTAAATTTGTTGGTTTTTGTTTGTAAAATAAACAATTATAAAGGTTTTGTTGATCAAGAACCCTAAAATTAAGCTAAATTATGTTTAAAAAAATATGCTTTACATATAAAACATATAAATAATTGGTTATTTAGGATAAAAACTAAAAGTAAATTTCACAAAAATGACTACTTAGTGATCTTGAAAAACAGGTTTAACTTAATAAAATTAATAAAAAAGTGGGGATCGAGTTAAAACTGATTAAAAAGTTATTCTCATAAATCTTCAACTAATAACCCAGTTAAAATATTAAAACTAAAAAAAATTGACTAGTAGAAACTGACAGTAGAAGCTATAATTAGATAAGTGTTTTTTTACTAATTTATTACTGCTCTGTTATTGTAGAATACCCGAGTATGTTAGGGTATTCTACAAACGAGTTCTCAATGTTAAGAACATTGAGCTCTCTTTTTGTAGAATACTCTAACATATTCGAGATATGCTAATTATGTGTTGTTTAAACGCGGTTTATAAATGAATTTTGTTTGTAATTTTTCAAAAAATGTTAAGGTTTTAGATAGTGTTTCATTTTCTACTATGACTCAAGCACGTGGGCCGCCATATCGTGTGGTTGACATGTTTGATGAGTTACTGGCTACTGTTACTCCTTCAGATAAAGAAAAAAGTACAGAAGAACTTTTAGCTGAATTGATTCCTATTGTAGATCATTTATGTGAAAATGTATGTTTTGTTTTTTTTAATTTTTTTTTTATTATTATGCTCTGCATTGCAATCAATTTTGTTAAACTTGAAACATGTGAGGTTTCTTTGCCATACTAAAGGTAACTTTAGCATGGCAATGCGGGTAAAGGTATATTGATGGCATTTTTTGTAATTGTAGTACACAATTAAAATACTATTTCTCTATCTGCAAAGCATGTTACCACCAAGAAAGGCATCCAGTTGTAAAGGGTTAGCTCATCTTTTTCATTTTATCATGTCAAAATATTTAAAAAAAAGTGTAAAAGCATAAATGTTAAACATTTAAAAAAAAAACTACTTCAAATATTTTAGTATTATTTCTAACTCTCCAACATTTGCATGAAGATATGAAGAGTTTATTTTCAAAACGCGCTATGCGCCATTTAAAAAAAAATATATTTTTTAGTTTAAAAGGACCTAACAGGCATTGTGTTCGATTACACGTTAAGCAAAGTATAACCTTATATTTTTTTTTTAATTCCAAAAAAACGTTTATTTTCAACATTTTTACATTAATGAAATAGCGGATTGCAATGGACTAGACTCCTATTTGACATAGAGTTAAAATGCTTGAAACAAGAAAAAAGAAAAGCATTTCTTCATTCTAGTGTTTGTTTATACTTTGTTTTGTTTAACTGGACTGATTATGAAAATATATTAAAAAGGCATCTTATATTAACAAGTTTAAATATATTTATTATCTGTTTTTATTTTCAATGTAAGCATTCAATAATAATACTTTTTATTTGTTTGTTAAACCGACAATTCTTTTTTTGCAAAGAAAAAAATGAGGCCTATATTTTTTATTATATTTTTTAGTTTTATTAAAAAATATAACAATGGCGTTTATGTTATATTAATTGTCTATTAATTTTAAACAGACTTAAAAATAGAAGCGTAAATAAAAAATTAATGGCTTATGAAGAAAAGAGAGATGTTTTAAAAAAATTGATATATTTTCCAATGTATCAATTCTTTGTCTATTTTCATGTCTGCTATGGACAAAGCAAGAAATAACCAGTGTTGATGCTTCTTTCCTTAAAAAAGCAAAATTTTAAAAATCTGATTATCACTATTACAACAACACTATCACTGTTTTTTAAAGTTAAATATAAAATAATATATTAAGGTTTATTACCTCTTTAATTTTATTTGTTTAATTATTTAATTCACAACTGTGAATTTTGAAACATAATAGTTTACATTACCAGAATATTACATTCACATTATCATTATAATATGAGCTGTGATTGGATATACAGTATTTTGAAAGTAAATGCGAATTTATAAACAATGAAAATATTTTTTTTATTTACCAATACTTCAATTATTAACATTTTCCAATATACTTTATGTATATATACATTAAGCAACAATATTTTTTTCAAATATACGAGACATGATTATGTGGCAAAAAAAGTCAATTATCTCAATGACACAAAAAAGGATATACATAGATGAGTTTTTTCCGGGAATTCCCGGAATTCCGGAAATTCACATCAAGTTTCCGGGAAATTCCAGATGCTTTTGCTATTGATTTGTAAAAAGTTATATAAAATTTTAAATACGACATGGTTTGCATTTAAGCAATTATGTTTTCTATAAATGAAATTTATAGAAAACATAAATTTATAGAAAAGAAGATCAATTTTTTCAAAAAATTTTTTTCTTTTTAATTAATTCAAATTAACTTTTTCGAATATTAGAAATTCTTTTTCTTAAGAAGTTAATTGATGTAAATTCCGTTTTAAACGTTTGCAAAAGATCTTGTCGTTAAAAATTAACCCACATACCTTCGTCAATTTATTGACCCTAAATTTTTCCGGGATTTTCCGGAATTTCCATGAAAATGACTTTCCGGGATTTTCCGGGATTTTCAAAGAAAAAAATTTCCGGGATTTTCATAAAGTCAAAAACTCATCTATGGATATACCGCATTTTGAAAATAAACTCTTCATATGTAAAGCTTGCTTTCTCAAATGATGGGTGCATCTTTAAATTTCTATTTAAAAAATTATAGTTCAAAAACTTCAATAAAAAATTAAAAACAAATTTTTTTTTTAAAAGAAAAAAAGTAGCAATTTTGCATTTCTTTTTTTTTTTTTTAAAGTTATTCTATGTTTGATTTAATTAAATGTTTAAATTATTATTAATTAGGCTAAATTTAAATAATTTTGTTTAAATTATTATTAATTAGGCTAAATTTAAATAATTTTGTTTAAATTATTTATTTAGAATAAATAATTTAAAAAAACATGTAATACGACATAAGTTAAAATATATTTAAATAAAAGTTTATTTGGGCATAATTAATATCAATTTTAGCAATAAAACATTTAGCACCTATAAAAGTTATTTCCATTTTTGCATAATCAGTAATGTTCAATTTGCTTTATTTTAACAAAAAATATTCAATATTGTTAATTATTTGGAAAAAGTTGATAAGTTCTTTAAAGATATTGTCTGGAATATCTTTAAAGAACTTACAAATATTGTCTGCATAAACATATTAAGTTACCATTTTCACAGAATTATATAGTTATGTAAAAAAGGAATTTTGGAATTAAACCATTGGGGTATTTAGCTGTGTTGCTTGATGGCATATATGCAATTGACAAACAAAGATATACCAAATAGTTTATACCAACTGAGATAGTTCAAAATACTCTGCTGACTTTGATTTAGGATTGTTGCTGTGAAACAATATTTTAAATTAAATCAGGACCATGCTTATCTATAACTTGTGAACAAAAACCCATATCCTAAATAAAATATTTAAAATAAAACAGCAAACAAACATTTAAAAATATATTTAAGAAAGCTGTTCATCAAACTATTTCTAAGCATTTACAATGTTTTTATACAATGTTCCAAACTTTTGATAGTGACTGTATATCACAAACAATTCATATCTAGGGGTTGGGTGTAATCTAGGTGTTGTTTCCTTAAATATTTTTTGCTCTTTAATTCTTAAAATATGCGCTTTAATTTTTCAGAAAAAAAGGAAAAAAATAATGAATAAAAAGGAAAAAAATATTGAAAGAAAAGGTTGCTGCCCCAGTCCAAACCGTCAATGAAGCAACACTTTTACTGAAGATAGTCGATGTATGTACTGAAGCCCCCACAGCTACCTATTTCAGTATGACATCATCAGTGTGCGTCTAATGCTGCGTTTATATATGTGTTTGTGTTTATATATATTGAGAGAAAAAAAGTGAGAGAAATCTTTAAATATTACATTTGTTCTTTTTTTTTTTTTTTTTTTCATGAATTAATTATACCTTTAGGAACCTTGGTTTGACAATCCTGAAATAAGCACAATTCCTTCAATAAACGTTGATATGTTTAATCACCCTTTAAAGAGATTCCCACTTCTGAATGAAGTAAAAATAAACAGCTATTTAGTGCAAAGTAATGAATCTGTGCAAGGAAAAGTGTTTAAAGCACCTGTAATTACTCCTAAGCAAGTACCTATTAGCACCTATGATTTACCTGTAACTCATTTCATCAATCAAAGAAGACTTGAAGTTATAAAAGATTGTGTACAATATATTTATGAGAGCAAAATCTCGGAAGCAAGAAAGGTACTCATTTTTAAGATTACAATCTATAGTAAACTTTTTTTTTTACTAAATTTTTTAAAATAAAAAACCAGAGGTTAGGAAGTTTAAAATAAGCAAAAGCAAAAAAGAATTTAAATCATTCAACTAAATTTGTTCAATATTCATAGAAGTTTTTTCCTGGAATTCTCAGAAATACGGAAAATTACGTAAAACTTCTTTACGTTTCCAGAAATTTCCAGATGATTTTTGTTATTAATTTGTAAAAAAAGTTATATAAAATTTTAAAAAAAAGTCAACGTTTGCATTTTAACAGATATGTTTTTATAACTGAAATTTTTGCAATACTTTTTTTTCTTTTTAATTCATTTAAATTAACATTTTTGATTATTAGAAATTCCTTTTTATAAGAAGTTAATTAATGTAAATTTTCTTTAAAAAAGTTAACAAAGGTTTTTGTTGTCAATTATTACGAACAAAAAGAAAAAAATATAAAATGGAAGTTAAGAGGTTATCTGACATTTCTGAGACAAAAATTATTAAAAACAAGTTTTGCTGGAATCAGCTTCAAGAGAAAGATAATAATGGGTTGTTTTTTTTAAGCCTATAAGAAACAGATAAAGCTGACATTGTAAGTTTATTCCCTAACTAAATATCCAATTTTAACATAATTATATATTATTTAGTTTGATGTTTTAAAGATGATGTTAAATATGTAGTAAAGACTTGAAAATAAAAAATCTTTACTCAGCCACACTTAGTCTAAAATACATCGTCAAAACTGCCCAATGATTAGGTCAAACAAAGCTATACCGTCATTTTTTTTCACTAATATGGAAAAAAAATGTTTATTGCCATACAGCACTCTGGATAACATGTATATTGTTAGTACTTGCACAAATAGAGTGAAGCTTACTATTAAAGTTATTTAAAGTCTTAGAGACCAGACATGAAATGCAGAACACTATCTTCCAATATCTTTTACTTCCTTTATAATTGAATATGCAAAAGAAATGATGTCTAAAGTTCATGGTTTTTTATTTAAATTGAAACTGTTTCATATAAGCTGTGAGAAGGATTAGTTGAAGTTTTCATGCTGAGCTTGGTTTTGATATTAAAATAAAAATGTTTTTTTTTTTTTAACATAGATAAGTGCTTCTCGGAAAAAAATGAGAAGGTTTTTAATTATACTTAAGCATATTTTTGCAACAAAGTTGATAAAATTGTTTTAAAACACTGTGCATCATTATCTCTTGTTATGATAAATGCTGAAAGTCTTTTTAATGCTATTATTCATTAATTTAAAGATGCCATTTCATTAAGTAATCTATTTTCCAATTTATCAGATTCTACTAATTATAAGAGGGAAAAATCAGTGGGTTTGAAACAAGGTTAAGAAAAGTTGTTCCTCACTTTCTTGATATTGATAGTGATATTTGTCATCATGCACAATGTTGTCAACAAAAAAATTTTTTTTTTTTTTTTTTTTTTTTTGGTTAGGTAGTTGGAAATTTACTGGATGATATCTACAATGATTTTAAATTTAGCCCAAATCGTACATTTCTGAAAATTTTTTGTCAAATCACAGGTGTTACATACAAAGCAAAAGGTTTATCATTGGTGGTTGTCTATTTTAGATTGCACTCTTCTTATGTATGAGATGAAGCCTGCTTTCACCTTAATTATTCTTCTTGATTAAAAAAACAGGAGACCTCACTGTATAAAGATAAAAGTGACAAAATTTTAAAGAGGCTTTCAAATGAAAATAAAAAACTAATAAAAAGAGTAAAATATAAAATGCTATATTAAAGTAATGGAATTCCATCTTAAAAACTGTAAAATTGAAAAACGCTGAAAAAAAAAAAAACCTTACATAAACGATGCAAAATAGTTTAAAAGTTTATTATTGATCATGCAAAAAAGTGTTTTTTTCTTAAAATTATATTTTTTAAAATTATATTTTTTAGTTTAATATTATTGATAATATAATCATTACAATATATTCCTTTTTTTTAATTGCTATTTTATCTTTAAAAAATGTTGCTTGTCAAAACCAAAACTATGATTTGACGCACTGAAGCATGTGCTGCTGTTTATTTTTAGTAAAGTTAAAGATTTTATTACTCCACTTTTTTATTTTGAAAAAAGTATATTTATTGCTGTATTTTTTAGTTAATTTAAATGATTCATAAAATACTAATGGTAACATTATTTTTATTACTAGGCAATGCCATCTGTGTTGCGTGCTTTAAAAAGCAAAGGAGCTCAATTAGCTTTGTGCAATGAATTAGAACTACGAATCAAAAATGAAAAGAGTGCTATTTTAGAACATGACCAATACAACTTAATTATTCGTCTGATAGATGCAGCGCTAAAAGAAGCAAATACTGTTTATAACACAAATGTGGCTGCAAAAGTAATTCCTATTGTTTCTGCATTTCATAGAAAACTTGGTTCGAGTGCTATTCAATTTGCGTACACATCAGTTCAAGAGCATGCTGTTTGGAGCAATATGCAGTTTTGGGAGGAAGCATTTTATGCTGAAGTTCAAAGACAAATTGTTCAATTACATGTCAATGAACGATTAAGTGCTCTCAAAAAAGAAAAAAAAGATAAAGCAGAATCAAATAATTTTCTTCAAACACAAGATATGGATTCATTAAATGTTGCAGATGGAAAAAATCAGCGCAACAGTATGTTTTTTGCACCTTCTGTAAACACCCCAAATACACGTATCCGCGCATTTACTCGAAACAAAGATTTTTCTCAAAATTTGGGTGACTCTGCACAAACAACTGATAGCAATGAGACTATCAAAAGTGATTTGCCTAATCCAATGAATTTGGCTGCTGAACTGGTAATTACCTTTGTTTTGTTTCATCGCTATCACAGCAGTCTTATCATTATTGTAATAATTCTCATCATTAATTTAAGAGTGTCTGATAATTATTTAAGTTTATTTTGTGTTTAGCCAAGTGAGAAATATTAATCATTTGGAAATTTATATATAATAATTTTTAGGTACAAAGTTCCTCAATATATGTTATATACATTATTTTATAATATTTGTGTTTTACATTTCAATCTTTTATTAATTTAATTCTTATATATTGTGCTAAATTTTTATTCAGTATTTTTTTTTAAATTTGATTTTATTGAGTTTTTCTTGAAATTAAAATTTGATTTGCAGTATAATGACTAAAATCGTCAAACTTGGTTCTTGATTGGTCTGGTGGTGCCCCAAAATTTGACATATTGTTTAATTTTAAGCAAAACAACAACAATGTTAATAAGATTGTTATTTATTTTTTATGCAACTTTGAGACAATATATAGAATAATAGTTATAATAATAAAATAAGCAAGTTGCAAGGCAATGTTGCTATATTACAATATTACCAATAGCATTAATAAAATTATAAATATTGTTTTTTGTTGTTTTTGTTGTTTTATTAATAATTTAGCTTAGTGAATGGGACACAAAGAGTGAAGAAGAGAAAGAGCGTTTAGTTTATGCAGAAGAGAGCATCGTTTATAGCATCACAATGCTATTTGCTCAACAGATGATGTATTTACGTGTCCCAACAAATGCTTGTGTTGAGATGCGAAAGTTAAATGCACAAAAGAAGAAGGAATATGAGAAGAGATTGCAGCAAGCATTAGATAAAAGTACATTTTTTGTTTGGAAAAAAAGATTTTGTTGCTCTTTATTCAACAAACGTTATAAAACATTTTACATCCATTTAAATGAAGTTATTTGCTCAAATTTTAAGATGATGGCGTTTCAATAATGAATGACGATAATTTGTCAATGTCCCTTAAGCCTTCAAGCAGTATAGTGGATGGAAGTTCAACTTACATAGGTGAGCTAATTATTCTGATTTTTTTTAAAGTAAAAAAAATAAAAATTGTCAATTTAACAAAATTTTCTGTAGTACACTATTGTTTGAAGGCAATCAAGAGTTTGCTTAAATCCATGCTTCTAAAAGTAGCGCAACCTTATAACTCGATTATTTAAAATATTTTTGTATTGGAGTTTAGGATTGATATATAAATATATATATATATATATATATATATATATATATATATATATATATATATATATATATATATATATATATGTATATGTATGTATGTATGTATGTATGTATGTATGTATGTATGTATGTATGTATATATGTATATGTATGTATGTATGTATGTATGTATGTATGTATATGAGTTGCCTCTCTTGACTGTTATTTAAAAAAAAAGTTTTAAAAATCATTTTCTATGCAGATTATTATTTTAGATTTTGTTGAATTTTAAATAGTTTTTTTTAATGTTAGTTAAAAGTTATATAATTAAAAATATTTATGAATTAATTTTTTAAATATTTTTATATACTTTTGATGAAATTATTTTAAACAAGTTTTTTTAAACAAGTTTTAATCAAGTTTTTTTTATATCTGTTGGGCTACTAACATGTGAGATGTGAGAAACCTATCAATGTAATCAGGTTATTTATCATCCGTTTAGCTACTAACATGTGAGATGTGAGAAACCTATCAATGTAATCAGGTTATTAATCATCCGTTCAGCTACTAACATGTGAGATGTGAGAAACCTATCAATGTAATCAGGTTATTTATCATCCGTTCAGCTACTAACATGTAAGATGTGAGAAACCTACAATAGGGCTTTGGTTTTATTAGCCTCAAAAATGATATTAACATATTTGAGTTTCACAATATTCACTTTTCAGTGGTTTAGATTGTTGTTATAGTTAAAAAGGCTCAATTTATAAAAGTACTTAATCTACTTTATATAAATACTTAATACTTTTACCAATAGTTATTCTTTCACAACTCCAAAACACAAACCTTGATGGCAGCTGCACAGAGAAACAAGTTAAGCATTATACTTCTAGGTACAAGATGGGTTTGTCAGTGTATTAGCTATTTTAGGTTTACAAATGTTTTTTGGATTTCACATGTTGCAAAAATATGTCACTAAAGTACAAAAGAACCCAAAGAGATGAATTCTGTATAGCATGACTTCAGCTATTACTTTTATGTGATAAATCAATCCAAACATAAATAGTTTTTTAACAAGGAGGAAAACAAAAGCAAATATTAAGTCATTTTTGGAGTTTTAAGCAAGTTAATAAAGGAATAAAAGTCTAATCCATATAAAGGCACTGAAGATTTTTTTGTAATAAAGTTAAAGAACTCTCTTGTTTAATTTTATTATTCTAGTAAAGTTTTAGGTTTTCTAAAGTCATTTTATCTTTTAAATAATATTTAGTTAATTCAAAATTGATTATATTTTTTTAAATTAGTTTAGTTTTTTGAAATTTATTTTATTTTCTAATTTTATTTAGCAAATCAAAAAAAAATTTAATTTCTGAATTAAATTTTTTAATTTTAAAAATTAATTTCAGAAATTAATTAGAGCATTTCCATTTCTGTGCGTGGTTTTTTATTTTTATTTGTTTTTACAATTAGAAGCTGGGACTTATAGCAAAATACATAGTATTATGTTTTTCTTAAAGAACAACTATTACGAAAATATTTTTTTCAAATTAAAGCCACCTGAATTTTAAATATACAGTGGTTTTCATAAATTTAGAGGCACTCATATTTGAGAATAGAAATTTTTAGTTTTTTAACGATAAATTGATAACAAAAAAAGATTTTGGTTTAGTTTTTTTCTATTTATTAGATAAATACATACAGAATCCAAAATTTTAAAAAATTTTACAAAAAAAAATACAAATACTAAGTAATATTTAGGTACAACTACAAATAAGGCAAAAAAAATTATTCATAAATTTAGATGCACGATACATTAGGAGGCGTAATTTATGAAGCAATCAATATTTTGTGTATCCCTCTTTTGCTTTAATACAACTAAGAACTTTTCTAGGCATAGATTCAACAAGATTGTTGCATATCGCTTCTGGGACCCTATACCAGGTCTCCTTGAGGACATCCTTCAGCTGGCCAAGTGTGGAAATTTGAACCTTTGCCAATTCACGGTCAATCTAAGCCGATATGTTTTCAATCGGGTTCAAATCATTAAGTATGGAGGCTATTGTTTTGATATTATTATCGTTGAACCATTCCTTTGTATAGTATGCAGTATGTGCAGTAGCTCCATCTTGTTGAAGTTTCCATGGTTTATTATTAAGCTTAAGCAAGTCAATTGATGGAGTTATTTTTTAGTACTTCTATGTATATTCTGGAGTTGATTCTTTCGGTGTATGTTTGGCACATATCAACACCTTTGTATTTGAAACATGACCAGAATCCTATCCAGCCTCCTCCATTTTGTACAGTCAGTCTAATGTACCTGGCATAATAGTTTTCGTGAGTCATTCGTTTGACTGTAATGTTAGATTTGCGATTGATAAGCTCAAAGTTGCTCTCATTAATCCACAATGTTTTTCCATTGCTCTATTGTCCAATACCTTTTTTCACGACATCATTTTAGTCTCCTTTGTTTATCATATAGACGCAAGAGTGGTTTCTTCAAAGCAGAGTAGACTCCAATCTTGTATTTGATAAGTATTCAACAAACTGTGCTTTGAGAAATGTATTTCGCGTTGTATGGAATTCTGTAGTCAATTCTTTGTAACTAATTCTTGGATTAGCTCAGACAGCTCTAAAAAGGACACTATTGTTCTTTCTGGTGGTTGACAAGAGTCTACCTGGCCTTGTTTTCTCAGTGGCACCACCAGTGTGAAGAAAATTTTACTTTGTTGTCCAAATGCATTTCTCAGAAACTCCAATTAACCTGGCGATTTCTCTATTACTTTTGGTTCCTTCTTTGATGTGAGCAATAATTTGCCATCTTTCACTTTTAGTGATACGTCTTTTGCCCATTTTTTGCATCTTTTTAGTGCAAAACTAACTTAACTTTTGTTTATTTATTAAATAATGATTAACTAGTTCCAGGTAAGTCATTTTTATATAAGATTTTTTGACAAAATTAATTTAGGCCTTTTATATTAGGCCTATAAGAAATATGGGGCCTATAAGAAATATTAGGCCTATAAGGTTTTATATAAGGTTTTTTGACAAAATCAATTAATTTAAGCCTATTAATGAAAAATATGGGAAAAAAACTACTAATTAACTATCAATTAACAAGATATAAGACTTTTATGATTGAGCGTCTAAATTTATGAATAAAATAAAATCAAGCTTATCAGTTAACATTTTTGTGTAAATTGGTATAGAATGAGTAATAAACATCCTTTAAAACAAATTAAGGTACTCTATAATAGAGTTTCACTTCCTCTATTAAATTATATATCAAACATAGCAGTTGCACTTTTTTTTTTTAAGTATTTTCTTACATATATGTAAAAAAAAAAAAAATGCGTCTAAATTTTTGAAAGCTACTGTATATATTTTGTGTGTGTGTTAATGTCACAATAGTTTGAAAAATATACAATTTTCTAAACACTAAAATTTTCTAAATACTAAAGCTAGAAATATTTGATGACTGCCATTTCTCATTTGGAAAATACAAAAAATATGTGTTGTAGATATAATATTTTAATTAAAATACTCACATGCAAATTATTTTCATAAAAATAACTGTTTGAAATCGACAAGTTGCTTTTTATACTTCCTTACTTCTTTTTAATTGTTCGTTTTTTTTTTTTTTTAATATAAAACAAAAATACGACCAAACAAAAATGCAATTGTTCTTATTGATTTAAAATTAAAGATTAATTTCTTTTGCTTTTGTTGCTTTGATATATATTTAATAATATTACACTCTTAATTTAATTAAAAACAACTTTCATATTTCTTGATATTTTTTTAATTGTATAAAAACAAATTTAAAAAAAATAAGTGCATGTTTAGTTTATGTTTTTTTTTTATCATTAAAGCTTTGAGAGATAATTACAACATAAATTTAATTACAACACAGAAATTAAAATTTTTTTTTTCAAAACTGTTATAATTTTAATAACTGATTTTCACTACAACTGTTGCCAATGGTCTGTCCTTTTTTTCTATACTGAATTCTGCTACTTTGTCAATCATGACTTTTATTTTATTACCTTTTAATTTAAGATAAATGATACTTAATAAAAAACTCATACTAAATAAAAAAAAAATTAAAAAAATTTATTTTATAAATACTTATTCTATTATAAACAATATGTGGAATATTAGAAGCAATAAATCAAATAATTGGCATTTTTACAAAATTAAAAGTATTTTTAAGTTTTAATTTTCTTATAGTAATTGTTTATTCTCATTGCATTTGTATAGTAATTTTTTGTTTAAATCTCATTTGCGTATTTTCTATTCAAAATGTGCACTTGGTTTAAATAGTTAACATTCGATTCTAAAAATTGATTGTAATGACTTCAAACTGTTCATTCATTATGTTTCTGCAATGTTTGTTTCTGTGCTTTGTTAATTAAATGAAGACATAATTTTACTGTTAAATTAAACTAGTTTCATACATTAACTAAAAATTTTTATTGAAGATATTTTATAATAAATCAATTAAACAAATTATCATTTTCTCCCTTCTTAAACGAGCATGATTTTATACTCTCATTTTAAGCTGAACAAGCATTGCTTATCTTGCCTGGAAGTTTTGAATATACCTTTAATGGGTGTATTTTATGTTACTGGAGAGATCATGTCTGCTTTATCACAAGCCCTGAGTATAAACTACTTGCCTACTTGTTGTTCTTGATGTTATTATGTTATTATGCATTTTTTTTTTGTAAAACTACAGCATATTTTTATATAAAAAAATTTTTAAATATTTTTTATTTTGTAATAATTTTTAAGTTTAATTATTATTCAAAATTTAATTTAAATTATTACTAGGTGGAAGCATAATGGAAAGTGGCAGTATTGCAAGTGCAAATGATTGGACGGATATAATGGATTTTGGCGAAAGTGTTAAAGATACAACCTCAAAGTTTATCCTTCGGTTTGTGGAACGTGTTTGTATTGAAGCTGGTGTCACTGCGGCTCATTTAAAGAGTCTGCAAACAAATATCCCAAGTATAAGAATTAAAGTTTAGAACTGTTTAAGTTTGTTTTTGGGTGTTTTTATGATTTTTATTTTATGTTAATAGTAATGTTTTTTTTTCTTTTATTATTAGTGCTTGTTGGCATGCATATTGAGTCTCTTGAAGAAGTTTACAGGGAGACAAAAGATGCTCCTATGCAAAAGGTTTTCAAAAAATGTTAATAATGACAAAGACGATGATAATGCAATTATATTAACTATACTATGATGATCATGATTTTGATGATGATCATATGAATGATGATCATGATTTTGATGATGATCATATTAATGATGATCATAATTTTGATGATGATCATATTAATGATGATCATGATTTTGATGATGATCATATTAATGATGATCATGATTTTGATGATGATCATGATTTTGATGATGATCATATTAATGATGATCATGATTTTGATGATGATCATGATTATTGTGATCATAATGTTGTTTTTATTATAGTTAATTATAACATTAACATATAGTTGATAACCTAGTTATATATATATATCATAAAATTTAAGGCAAAAATTATGAAACCTACACTACTGGTTGGTGAAAACCTCCAATTTGACGGTATTCGATGCTTACTTATTGCTGATGGTCGTGAATTGGGTGTACGAGATACCAATAAGCAAACAGTTGTTGAAAAAATAGAAGATGATAGAGAAATGAATATTGGTGCTGACAATGGTGGTCCATGTCTGTTGCCTGCTGATGGAGCTCTTTTTTTGACAAACTATCGTGTAATTTTCAAAGGAACTCCATTAGACCAATTTGGTAAGTTAAAATTGTGAAATTCAAGTAAGTAAATAAGAAAAATTATGAAATTGTAAAATGATCTATTTAAAGTAATCAAAATTAACATTAATATTTATGGTTAGTTGTTATCTAGTAATTGATTTCATCTGTTTTCTTAGAGATTAAAAAAATATAAACTTTTTATACTAAATTCTAAATTCAGTTTTTTTAATTATCATTTCCAAATATGATGATCGTCTCTATTTTATTGTAAGTTTTTTAAGTTCATGATTCCAAAAAGTTAGAAGATTAAAATGGCTATCGAATTTTTCTTTTAAAAAAAACTTAGATTAGGATAGTTGTTCATTTCGAATTATTGAACCTGTCCTTTTGAAAAGGGCACAAGTCCAAAACTTTTAACAGTTAATTTATAAATTTAAATTAAAATTTTCTGTATAATTTATGTTTTTTTATAAGAAATAAAACTTACATAAGATAAATACGTTTTTTATTTATATACTCCTATGTTTAATTTCTATAACAGCGTAGACATTATTTTAATAAAAATCTTTTTTTTTTTTGATTTGGAAATGTTTTAATAGATGAATTTGTGTCTTTCTAAATGACAGGTTCAATTGTTCTTTGGTCAAAATTTTTTCTTTTTACTTCCTTTTTTTTTTTTTGATTTGTAGCCTCAGAAATGACAGTAACTCGATCTTTCCCAATTGGTGCATTAATAAAAGAAAAAAAAGTTAATGGAATGTTTAATATTGCAAATCAAAACTACGATAGCTATCTGCAAATTCGTTCAATTACTTTTCAGGTTTTTATTATTTATAAAAATTAAGTATATTTATTTATTATTAAAAGTTATTATAAGTTGTTAAAATATATTTATTTCAAATTTATTTTCTGCATTTGTGGGTACTTGTATTTTTAAAATAAGGCTTTAAATTTTTTATGAAAATAAAAGAAAATAAAAGAAAATAGAATTGAATAATTTTTTTGTTGTCATGTACATTTCATTATGCCTATGATGTAGTTTAACTCTCTTACCTTTGTAATGTAATAAATCAATAGATATATACACATCTACTGTGCCAATCCTTAACTAATTTAGTTGATATATGTACATCTTCTATGCCGATCTCTAAATAACTTATTCAATATATGTACATCTACTATGCCAATCTCTTATTAATTCAGTGATAAATATGTTCTTTAATGCATGTATGGAATATAAACAGCAAGATTTTGAAAAAAATATTATGGTATTAATGAACAATCACTTTAGCAAATTAAAAAAAAAATTCTAAAAAAATTTTTTTTTTTTTAATATTTTCAAAAAGTCTAGCAATCATAAAATCTTTTAATAATAAAAATAAAAATTAAATAATTTTCCTTTTTTTTTATTACTTTTTCTAAATAGCTATTTAGAATATTTTATAACATTGCATTACTTTAGCAATAATAAAATCTCTGAGGTGTGTTTAAATTTTTTTATGTTATATAAAAACTATACCATAATTATTAACTTTATAATTAAATGACTTGATTGTCATTTTACTTTTAACACCTATATACAGGAATTGAAATAACAAACTTTTTTGTACCGGACAATTTTGTTAGATAAAACAGGCTTTCACAGGAAGACGTGCAATTTCATGTCTTTATATGACCACGCAAAAAAAAAATGTTTTAGCAATTTGACCACGACATATTTTTAAAATTTAAAAACGCGCTACAAAAACTTACCTAATCTTATCTGAAAAAAAAAATTTTTTTAAATAATAAATATTAACGAAAAATAAAATTAAAAAAAATACTTAGTTAAAGCTTAAACACAAATTATTTAATTTACGCATTAAAAGACCTTTTCAATCTTTGTTTAAACATTTTTATATTTTTTTTATTTGTTTAATATGTTCAAAAGTTAAATATTTCTCATAAAAAATACAAAGTTATATAAATAAAATAAAAAAACTTTTTATAAATATTTTTTTTTAAATTAATTAGAAGTGTTTTTTTTTTTACTTTATTAAAAGCGTTATGATAATATAAAAGCATTTAAGATCAAACTTATTAAATTGTAACGTAGTCGTAGAATGTCATCGTTTATAAAAACAAAACAATTTTTTATTTTTTAAGATTTATTTTAGAAATAAACACTTAAACAATTTATATGTTTTAAATTAAAAATATATATACAACTGTCAATTATATTTAAAAAACAAAACTTTTTTTCAGTAAATTGTTACTTTATTTAAAATCGTTTCGCTAATATAAAAACATTTGTTATGATGTTTTGATGTAATTAATTTCACTTTTTTAGAATATTTTTTATTTAGTGCGTTTCTAAAATGTTTTTTGAATTAGCCGCGGTCAAACCGTCATAGCAAAATGTAACTTGTGTGGTCATATAAAGACGTGAAATCGCACGTCTTTCTGTGAAAGCCTGATAAAGACTCAATTTTAACTGCATTAATTGAACAAGTGTACAACTATTTTAATTTACATTCTAACGCTAAAACAAAGAGCATCGTAAAGTATTTTGTTGCCTCTAATCACCCGAAAAGAGCCATCAAACGTTATATGGCAAAGTGGAAGAACAATTAGCCAAAGTCTTGTAATCCTGGATCAAGTAGAAAACCAAAAATTATGACTGCTATGAACATCAATCACCTGAAAGGTTTTTTGAACAATCAGTTTGGAACTTCAATAAGAAAAATTTTCAAATAAATTCAAGTGTGACCATTCCCACATTGTAAAAACATAAAAAACAAAACAAACATTTCAACTGAAGTGTGGAAGAATTTGTTGCAAATTCAGAAACCATGACTTTGTAATTGGCGATGGGTCTTACTTTACATTTAAACATACAAATAAAAGTTCTAATGCTGGATTTTACTCAGATGAAGCAAAAAAATGCACTCAGATGAAGCAAAAAAATGTAAAATGTAAGCGCAAAGCAAATTTTAATAAAAACTCTTGTGTGGATTACCACATCACCTCCTGGAATCTCAAAACCATTTATTGTTCCTGCGAGACTGGCAATTAACCAAACAGTGTACAAAAATGATTGCATCATCAAACAGTTGATTCCTTTTATCAAAAAACATCACAATGATGGTAGTTATGTATTCTGCCCTGACTTGGCTCTTCACATTATGCTAGAAGTGTGAGCAATTACCTTGATAAGAAAAGTATCAGTTATGTAACATAAGTTGATAATCCAGCATGGGTCACAGAATTACGACCAAAAGAAGATTTCTGGTCAATCCTTAAATGCTATGTGTATGAAAACAACTAGGAAGCTGAAAATGAAGATTAGATGCAAAAAAGAATCCATTCTTGTTTAAGAAAAGTTGATAAAAATCTTGTACAAGGCATTTGCGAACATGTACTATTTCAGTACCAAAAGTAAAAAACTAATATATTGCCTAATATTTTGTACTAATTTTTTGCTTGTTAAACTTTTTGTTGAACTATTACTGCTTGTGTTTATTTTGTGCCAGATTTTTGTCCCCAGGGGTTAATAGCGAAAATTGAATGAAAACATCTTTGCATACTTAGACTTAACGGGCTTCATTACATACATTAACTGTATTAAAGGTTTAGGTTTGGGTAATATTAACTAGATATGAAAAACTTTTATGACAAAAAATTATTGAATTCAAACAGTTCTTCTTTTTTTTTTTAATAATTTGTATGAAAAGGTCAAATATATGTGTGTGTATACATAACATTAAAAGCACACTTAGATCAACAATCTGGTGTTATACTGATATAAGAAGCTGATGAAGAAGATTGTGCAAGGAGGTTACTGCTACTGAAGCTTTGGTTTAAGGCATTAATAAGTGTTTTTTCATTATTCTTTTTGTTCTACTTTTTGCAAAAAACCATATGGATTTAGGTAGGAAAAAAAGTATATTTATATTTGCTATAGCATACATCTATATACTTTTATTATAGTATTAAAATAAAATAATTCAAAAAAACCAATGTAATGAAGATTTAATTCAAATTTTAGATAACGTAATTAGATGACAAAAAAACTTTTCTTTTTTAAATTCTAAATAAAATAGTTACATCAAGAACAGCATAATTAATGTTTTATTTTAAATTCTAAATAAGATAACCAAAGTAAAAATGATTCCCCAATTTTTCATGAAAGTATTTGATAAACAAAAAAGATGTAGCAATAAAAAAAATGTTTTTTTTTTGACAAATCTATTTTTATGCACTAAAGTTTTTGCAGATGTGTGCGTAAGCATGAAAAAGCTTAAGTACAAAAGCACTGGCTAAAGTCTCTATTTTATATACACATACATTAGGTAACTATATCTACTTGTATCCTCTCGGAAGTTTAGTATATAGTATAAAATAATAATAATTGTTTTGTATCATTTTTATAAAACCAAAAAAACTTAATTTGCTTTGTTAATTTATTTATTCATTTTTACAATACCAACTCTTTTTATTCTACATTATGTTTATATGTATATTAGCCCTCGGAATTAAGGTTAACATTCAGCAATGCCAACCTAACTGCCAACCTAAAAGTGTATGAAGTTGGCAAAAAATCGCTGACCATGTTTCTATGTTTTATGGTAACCCCTTGGTGTCAAATTTTTTTTGCCAACCTGATGCCAACCTCTAACAGTTTATAGGCGGCAATTTATTGCCAACCCCATTTTTTCTAATTCCATTAGATTAGTTTCCATTAATGTTTGATTTATTAGGTTCTGAAACTGGCATTCGATGAAGAGGTGTTCCCAGATGTGATTGAAAATCTAAGAAAATCTCTTGTTAAAGCGAGGTGGCCAACAACTGTATACAGTACATTTGCTTTTAATTTAAAAGAAAAACCTACACTTCAGCGAACCCTTTCACAAAGGCAACATTCTATACGTAAAGCAAATAAATCCATAAATACACTTGTTACTGTTAAAAATATTGTCAGCATTAATTCAAAAAAAGGGAAGACTAAACTTGCTCAAACAGGTGATACAACAGCGCGCAAGTACCAAGCAGTAAAGGCAGATGATGAAGATAATGATGATATGAAACAAGTTTTATTTGAACAAGAAAACAGAGGTATTTTTTAGTTAGCATTTGATTTTTTTATTACATTAAACTGAGCTATTTTTAATTGTTTATTTTTGTTTTAATAGTGCATAAAATAGTAGAAAATGATATATATAATGACTAAAAACTATAGCTAAAACAAAATAGTAGAAAATAATATATATAATGACTAAAAACTATAGCTAAAACAAAATAGTAGAAAATAATATATATAATGACTAAAAGCTATAGCATATATATAATGACTAAAACTATAGCTGGCTTAATAAGAAAGCTAACCTGTTATTTAACATTATGTGGAAAGTAATCAAACAGTGTGTAGTTAACAAACTACAAGTTTCTGTAGTTGCTTCTGTAATTTGCTGTAATTTATGTATTAATTATTAAAAGCATTACAAAAAGTAAAGAAATTCTTTTGTTCAGAAATGTCCTGTTAAATTCATAAAGTGAGATTAAGTCTAAGTATATATATATATATATATATATATATATATATATATATATATATATATATATATATATATATATATATATATATATATATATATATATATATATATATATATATATATATATATATATATATGTATATATATATATGAAGGGCACAGGGGAAAAAGCAGACATGTCAAAAATTTCATATATTGAGTTTTTTCCCTTGCTACATAGAGCCCGACACAGAGTTACATCCTACTATGTTGTCCAACCGAAAAACCAGCAAAGTCTCGAGCATTTAGCATTTAAAATTATAGCCATCTGGGGAAAAACCAGACATGTCCAAATTGTACAGGGGAAGAAGTAGACATGTCCCCGCTGAGTCATGTGGTGTCGATTCACATTACTAGGTCAGCCAATCAGCGTTTAGCTTTGGTATAACAATAAAGTGCGTGCAAAATGGCGGATTGCTTTGACAGACCAGTTGTGACTGTAACGCCTCGAAAGCGAAAAATTAATGGAAGGAAAAAAGATGCGGCAAAGATTAAACGCATAAAAAATCAAACAACAGGTGAGGATTGCAAATGCAGCCGTCTAAAATGTTTTGAACAGATAAGTGAAGCTGCAAGACAATCACTTATTGAGGGCTTCAACACATACTCAAGCAAATACAGCCAAGATGCTTATCTGTCTACAATGGTAGTAGTTCTCCCTGTAAAACAATGTAGGTGTAGGGAAGGTGCAGACGAAAATTCTTATAAACCTAAAGAGATGAGTGTTAAGTATGTTGTAAAGGTATCAACAGGAACATCAGTGGAACCAGTGGCAGTGTGTGTGAAAGCCTTTTGCTCGCTCTTCGGCATCACAAAAAACTGTGTAGAAACAGTCCGCAAAGCAATGTCATTAACAGGTGAGTAGGAATTGGAATTAGTGCTTTTAATTTGTTGTTGATTTGAATAATACAATTTATAATTTTAGTAAAGATTACTATTGTTATTATTGTTATTGTTATTATTATTGTTATTATCATTGTTGTTTTTATTACTAGATCTATTATTATTGTTGTTATTTTTTTTATTTTTTTTTATGTGATCTGTGTGAATTTGTGTGAATACACAATTTTTTTTGTATAAGCAACTCGTTTATAAGCAACTGAACTCGATGTGAAAAAATACTAAGCAACTTCAGTTCTGAAAAAATGTTAACATAAGCAACTCATATATTGCAATTTTTTTCTCTGCAATGTAATGACTTCTTTTCAAAAAAAAGTAATCACAGTTGTGTTGTTTTGTATGTTGTTGACAACGCTGTTAAGATCATGAGTAAGAGAAAGCAGACAAATTTATTCAACTTTGGTTTTACCAAAAAGATTTGTCATCGTGGTGAGTTGGTAGTAGGAAGGAAAAAGAAGATAATTTGCTACCATTAAGCAACCATTAAGCAACTCGAGATATAGAAATTGGCTGGAAAATAAGCAACTCGAGTTCTGACCAAAATTCTAAGTTGCTTATACAAAAAAAATCGTGTATAAGTATTATTATTCATCTTCTTTTTAATTTATGATCTTTAATTTATGGAGGAAATAAAGATTATTATTATTATTATTATTATTATTTATTATTATTATTATTATTATTATTATTATTAATATTATTATGGATTTAATAGTGATGTTATGTCTTGCTTTAAAAAGCACAAACAGAAGGTGAATTTGATTTCTCATACAAATCTTTCTGTTACAGCAAACTTAGTAATGTGCAGTTTTCATTGTCGTTCATTGATACCTCTACTATGTTTTCTTCTACCATATGCCATCTTCCTATCCCACACTATCAACTTTCCTCTGTCAATTTTATTTCATATTGTGTGGGTTTTTTCCTCGCAGGTCATGCACCACAAGATGGAAGAGGAAAGCATAACAACAGGCAACACAAATTGACAGATAAAACAGTAACACTGGTGTGTGGCCACATATCATCTTTATGGGGCAGACACAGTCACTATGCAATGGGGGAGACAAGAAAGTTGTATCTTCCAGATACCTTGAATGTCGCCAAAATGCATCAGATGTTTGTGTCAGTTCACCCTGAAACCAAGGTTTGTGTATGTTTTTATGTCAGTGACAGTGAAATAGAGGATATTTTGAAGCTACTATATGTGCATGCACGAATACTAATTTTTAATTGCAGCTAAATTTACATATCAAACCCATCACAGCATCTGTTGGGTTTGGCTTCTTTTATTTTAATTTAATTTATTTATATTATCAGGGCATATTATTACAAAATTTTGCTACGAGCTCGAAAATGTAAGCTTTTCTAAAAACTCTCATACCTTGTGTATATATAAAGCACACTACACCAAATAACTTGAATTAATTTAATTCCTTTATTTTTAACATTATTTAAAGATTACTTACAAATAAATTAGATATAATAAATTTTGATTAGATATTTTAAAGACTATTAATGACACAATGAATGTAATAATTTATAAAAATAAATCAAAGTTGACAATCTAGAATCTTCTAACACTGATCAGATAACTCAAATTCTTCTTCTATTGCCTCGTTTTAGAAATTCAACACCTTTTTTTTCAAAGCTATATATGATAATGTGATATTATTTTTTTTTTCTTTATTTACTTTTTCTTTTTTTTTTCGCAGATTAGCTATGAATCCTACAGGACACTGTTTAACACGAAATTCAACATTGGATTTGGTTACCCACGGAAGGATACTTGTTCCACATGTGACGACGTGAAGTTGCAGCATGTGGATGGTGACATCGCCGATGCCGAAAGCAATGGTAGAGATGTTGCTGGTCTGAACAGCAAAAAAACTGAACTACTCACGAACCACGAGCTGCACAAACGCAAGGCCAGCACATTCTACGCAAGGAAAGCTGCAGCTAAGGAAAGGGCAAGAAAATGTGATAAGTTTGAAGCCATCTGCTTTGACTTTGCCAAAAACCTACCAGTGCCAAACAAGTCCACCAATGGCGTTTACTATTGCAGACAGCTCAGCCTGTATACGTTGGTAATCCATGTATTATCAACTGATGAAGTCTATATGTATACATATGATGAAACAGTAGCAAAAAAGGGTGCTGACGACGTTTGTTCATTTCTTGCTGACTTCATCCGCAGCCACATTTCTGAAGCCGTGGACAAAATCAGTTTCTTCTGCGATGGGTGTAGTGGTCAAAATAAAAACTACACAATGATTAGGTTCTTATACAATCAGGTACATGAACGCAATAGATTCAATTTGGTGAAAATCACCTTTCCGATAAGAGGCCACTCCTACATGGAGTGCGATAGAGATTTTAGCAACATCAACATGACAAAGAATGTAGACTTGCCAGAGGACTGGTTAGCAGAATTTGCAACTGCCCGATCACGTCCAACACCTTTCACAGTCATCAGGGCTACACAGGACATGTTCTTCGCCTACACAAAGTACTTTCGACCTTCCTTCAAAGCCGTATGCCCTATAAAGACACGCCCAGTCAGGGAGATCCACATTTTGGACTCTCGTCCATTGCTTGTTCTCTACAGGGATTTCTGAAATGGTGGGTTTGAGTCTGCTGTATTAAAAAAAACACGGACTCGACGTGGGAAGAAGCAGCCACAGATGTCTGTCCTTACAAAGTTGTATGAAAATGGTCCTCTGCCCATCAGCTCAGAAAAGTATAAAGACCTTCAAGTATTGAAAAGGTTTTGCAGCCATACAAATCATCAGTTCTTCGATGAGCTCCCTCATAGTGGATCAGACACTGCTAGAGTGAACCCAGGTCATGAACTCAATGATTTGTCGGAGAATGAGGATTGAATTTGTTATGTTGAATCCCTTGTTTCATTTTTATGTTGCAACTGTAGCTTGTTTTATTTTTCCTACTTTGTTCTTGTGTGCTGTTTGTGTATGTTATGCAGTTGTCATGAAATTAAGCTTTCTGTCAATTACAAAAAATGTCTCGCTATCACTTTGGAATAAAGTGTACGTGTACACACCAAAATCCCAGTACTCGCTATGATAACTTTAATTTAAAGCAGACCGATCACAAATGCATGAAAATATGTATAAGATTGATTTATATGGCTTCTAATGTCATTGTTTAAGCCTCCCATAGCATTATGAGTATATCTGGAGAATAAAGCTTAGCCTATTTTGGAATATTTTGGATTCAGGGGAAAAAACAGACATGTCACAAAACCACCTCTTGTGTGATTTTTTTAGTTTAAATCCCAACGGTCATAAAAAAACATACAAACTTTATCATTTATAGCAATGATATTGGTTCGGCTTGCTGTATGCAGAATCTCAACTTTGTATTCTGTATCTTTGATCATTGAGGAGTGTTTGAACTTTTAAAATGGGTTTTCTCAAAACTTGCAAAATGTGACATGTCTGCTTTTACCCCTGTGCCCTTCATATATTATATATTATATTATATTATATTTTAGAAATGAAAATTGAAATATAGATACCAGCATTATCAGCTTGTTAATATTAATATAGTTTTTCATTGTTAATATTTCTATTGACGCCAGTTGTTGAATGGTTTCATTTTTTTTAATTATTGTTATTATTTAAAAAATAAAGTTAAAAAATTGTGCCATTCCCTATAACCTAGATGTATTTTTGTATACCTAGTCCCCTTTCCCTCCCCTTTTCTATTTATTAATGAAGAGTTTTTATGAAGAGCTAATGAATATTTGTAATGTTTTTTCATAGAACATAATAATAATATAATAGTTGATAATTCATTTCAGATGTTGATGTGTTAGCGTGTTAACCTGCATTTTTGTTTCACCTTTTTAACTTGCATTAAAGTTAGAATACAGCAATAAAATAGAATTGTACAAGAAAAAACATTTTAAGAGAACAAAAAATATGCAAAAAATAAATCATCTAACAAAAGAATAATGGAAAGCTTTTAGAGAAAGTAAAAATGATAAAAATGTTGTTATATACAAATGTTGTTATATACCTGTGTGACAAAGGAACAGGTTTTGTAAGAATTTAACATTCTAAAGAATAAAACATTCAAAAATTTGTGAAAAAGTTGGTCTGACAAAAATTATATATGAATACCCTACTGCCACTTACGCGTCAAAAATTGAAATATATCTTTCAAAAAATGCCAGTCAGAATTAATCAGGGTCCTAAGAGGAACCTATTAAATTCAATAAAAAGATGGCCTAATAATATGGTGTAATAATATGATGACTCTATAATATGAGCCATTGTGAAGAAGAATCTCAAGGCTCTGTGCAGAACCAAGATAAAAAAAACAACTACTTACTGAGAGCTTGAAGACCAAAAGACTTAAAAAAATCCAAGAAAATTTTAAAGAAAGATGCTCTTATTTTAATGATTTTAATAGAAAAGATTTTATGATCTCAAATTGACTCAAATTGACCAGTACAAGGCACCAGAAGAAATCTTGAATGACATCTGATTTAAGTTCTGACTGAACATTTAGCCTCAGTAACAGATTTTTTGCCTTGTGTCATCAGATGGAAAAAAAATGCCATCTGATGACACAAGGCAAAAAAATCTGACTGAAAAATTGGACTGTTTTTTTTTTCTGTTAACTTAAAATATTAAGATTAAACATAAAAATATTTTATTTTATATTTTTAAGATTTTGCAACAAAGTTTTCTTTACTAAAATTAACAATACAATTTTCGAATGCTGTGTTATTACTTCTTAATTTTCTACTAATTTATTCAATATTTTGAAATTGTTTATATAGCTTTTTCAAAAGTCTTTTTTAGTTATTTTCAAGCTTTTGTTATATAAAAGTTACAAAAATTTTATATAATAAATATTTCTCAGTGTGATATAATTTTTAAAATTGTTTTTATTTTGGTGCCAATATTCAATCTTAAAAATTTTTGAAATAGGTGCTGACCGCCTGAAAGAATCAGTTGTATATAAAGATTATGAAAGACTGGGTTTAGGTTGCATTACAAAAGCATCTCCATCACAATGGAGGCTATCCATGATAAATTTTCATTACAATGTTTGTAGGAGGTAATAAAAATTCCTAAAATTGTAAAATACAATTATAATTTTATGTTATATTACTTATAAAATTAATATTATGTTAATTAAATTTAATTTATATATATATATATATATATATATATATATATAATATATATATATATATATATATATATATATATATATATATATATATATATATATATATATATATATATATATATATATATATATATATATATATATATATATACAATTCAACTACAGTTTTTTTTAAACTTTAAATTGTTATAGTCATAGCAAGAATCATATTTACCTGGTTCTTTGAAATTTATTCATGCAGGATAAAAAACTGTAAACATAATAAACTTACTATAAGACATTATTGTCAGAGAAAATATTCTTAATATGTTTATAACTTTTTAATTAATTTTAATTTATATTGGTCTCTTCTTTTTTTTTTTGTCTATCTGCATTAAGCACAATAGTTCAATTGGTACTTACATTTTTAATACTTATAATCTTGTTTTCTAACAAGTTTAAAATGATTTGTTTGCAGTTATGTAAAGTTATAAGTTTTTGTTAGCTATCCAGCTGTGGTAGTTGTTCCATCTCGTGTTGTTGATGATACTATCATGAAAGTTTCCAAGAATCATCGTTTAAATCGCTTTCCTGTAGTGGTATGGAGTCATAAAAGGACAAAGGGAGCTTTGTTAAGATCCGGAAGCATTAGCAAAAGTGTTCTTACATCTGTACTAAAAGGAAGTTTAAACACCAACCAAGTATCAAACTATAACAGTTCAAATATAAGTGAAGATGAAAAGATGTTTTCTGAAATTGGTATATCTGATTTTTTTAAAAGAATAAAAATCTATTTCAGTAAATAAGTTAAAAAATCTTTATTATAATTTTTTATATGATTATTTGTAAAGTGAAAGCCACTCAAATGCGAATAGCCAAAGGGAAGGTTTCCTCTATAAGTGCTGGAGCCGCTTTGTCAATGATGGCTATGTCTGATGATTTTGCAAGTTTGTTTGAGGGTTCTCAGCAATATAAGAAACTCACAGAGGAACAGGCTGAGATTAATAGCTGGACCCCTGCTAATTTATATATCTTTACTGATAAAAGTTCAAAGGTATAAATAGTTTCTTTATTTTTATATAAAAATTTTAATTTTTTAGGTGCATTTTTTGAATCTAAGGTTACTATTTCCTTTTGCTTTACTGTTATTGTTTATTTCAATAAAAAAAAATTTCAATTTTTTTTCTTGAATACTAAAGAATACCAAGAGGTTTTATTTTAAAATTTTTCTTTTCCAATAGAATGGGGAGATTTTACCATAGAAATAAGGGATTTTAACAAAGTGTTTAGAGATTTTAATAAATAATAACAAAAATTTAACATTAAAATAAGAGTATTTACTGAAGAAATTAGAGTAGTTACTTTTTATTAATAATATTTATTATAGAATAAGGAAGTTTTTTGGTTTTATTGTTTCTAACAATTTTTAAATAATATATTTTCTGGGTTAGAGTTAATCCTGACAAATTTTTGTTTTTTCTCTTCTAGCTTTTATTTGCATGTTCTAAATTTATATTTAAAACATGTTTTTATAATATTAGGGAAAATCTTTTTTAAAAAAGTAACAACTTTTAATGATTGTCTAATAATTATGCACATTTTATTTTAGTGTTTTTTTTTTTTGTTGTTGTTTTTTTTCATAAATAAAAGTCGTAAAATTCCATGTAAACACATGCTCATAAATAATTATAACTTGAAATGTATATAAATTAAATATGGTAAAAATTGAGAAACATATAAGAACATAGTCTTTCTAGAGTTTTCAGTAAACAAATAAAATAATAAAATGAAAATATTTATCTAATTGTGATACTTCTTGTTATTAAAATTTATACGTATTGAAATTTAATAATTAGTAAACTAAAAGCTATATATATATATATATATATATATATATATATATATATATATATATATATATAAATATATATATATATATATATATATATATATATATATATATATATATATGTATATGTGTATATATATATATATATATATATATATATATATATATGTATATGTGTATATATATATATATATATATATATATATATATATATATATATATATATATATATGTATATGTATATATATATAAACTTACTATAGCGTGTTTTGATAAGCATTTGCTCACTTTTTCTGCTTACCTTAGACTATACCGTTTTTTTTTGAAAAAGAAGAAAAAACGAAGAATAATGAATAAAACGATTGCTTCCCCATCCCAAACCCTCAGTCGATGTAGCAGCACTCCACTGCGAGTCAGGCTATTTTTCAGTCGATGTATGTACTGAAGCCCCAGCAGCAGGCTATTTCAGTGTGACGTCAGATTGCTTACCATAGTACGCATTACTATTCGTATGTATATATATATATATATATATATATATATATATATATATATATATATATATATATATATATATATATACATATATATATATATATATATATATATATATATATATATATATATATATATATATATATATACATATATATATATATATATATATATATATATATATACACATATATATATATATATATATATATATATATATATATATATATATATATATATATATATATATGTATATATATACACATATGTGCGTGTGTGTGTGTGTGTGTATACACAATTTTTAAAGCTTTTTAATAGCTTATTTATTTTTTGACATAGCAATAAAACTTGATAATAATAATAATAAAAAGTTGTAGTGCAAACATAAAACAATGTTTATTCAGTTGTTATTTATTTTCTTTATGTCAGAATTAAGTTGTTATTAAAAGCAAAGCTTTTATTTTTAAAATTATTGGTAAAAAATAAATATACAATTAATATTTTTCTTTTATGTTGATTGCGTTAACTTATAATTGTTTTATATTTAAGATATCAGTCAAAATGGAATCTTCAAGCAAGATTGTTGTTGTCAACGTTGATGTAAGTTTAGTTGGAAAAAATTTTTTTTTTCGGTTATTAATTACAGGTTTTAATTATTGAAATAATATTTCATTTACTGGTTCATTTACATTTTATGTTTTTTGGTTGACATAACTAGAGATGATAGCTCATTTGAGTAGTGACCATGATATTATCTGTAGGAAAGAAAAGGAAAAAAAGTTTTATCATGTTTTAAAACAATGTTGATACAAAAAAATCTGCTCAGACAAACATTACTTTTGATTATTTGTCTATCAGGTTGGGCGAAGCTTATTTTAAAGTTATTTTGTGTATGTAATAGACCACCATTTATTTGTTTTTTTGCCATTCTTAAAAGTATAGAATGTTTTTGTCTAAGATTTTTTTTATGGGGGAGTTATGAACCTCATTATTATAATTTTTTATAATTATGCTAAATTTAACTTTTAAATTATTAAGTTAAAGTATGATCATTTGCTCTCCTGAATTTTTATTCAACATAAGTTTAAATTTTAATTACTTTAAATCTCTGCGTAAAATTTAAAAATATACTACTTCTATTTTAAAGTAAAATTTAGTGTAATGCTTAATGAATAAAGTATATCAAAAGTTTCAATTATTAAGTTATGAATAAAATACACCATCATAAGTAAGTTTATTTATAAAGTAAATCAAAACAACCATTTAAGTTACTCAACTATTAAATTTATTTAATATGCTCAATGACATTTACTTGCAAAGCCATACAAATGAATTGATAAGAAAATTCTGTTAATCAAATAATCTTGAATTTAAAGTTAAAAAAAAAATTTAAAAGAGTTCGAACGCTTGCCAACAATAATTATTTATTTAATTGAATGGAAACCACAGCGACATCTATAATACCCAGTAGCATAGCGAGGATTGTTCTTCAAAGTCAAGCATATATCTAGTTACTGTAACAGTATCAAATTTAGAAGATAATCCAAGTGAGGAAGAAAAATTTATTTAAAACAAATACTTTTAGTAGTTAAATATTTTATATGATGTCATTACTTATTGTTTCTTAAAAATAGTTTAAAAAGTAGAAACATTCTATTGCACACATTAAATGAGTGATAAAAATTATATCATGAAAATTTAAATTTAAAAAAATAAATTATTCTACTTAAAAAAATAAAAATTTAAGCATATACTTACACTTATAAAAATATAATTCATTATATATTTGTTTATATATATATTCGTTATATATATATTAATTTATAATTATAAAAGCTTATAAAAATATAATCCTACTTGTTAAACCAAATGAAAACATTAACTTAAAATGAAATAATTAATTATATTTAAATTTTTAATTCTACGCAAGATAAGGAACTAATAAGTTAGAAAAATGTGGTATCTAAGTTTAGTATTTTTTTGGGTTTACTCGTTTCTTTTGTTTTTTTTTCCTTTGATCTTACTCGTTTGGTCTATACAGGGTGCGGAAAAAGTTCTGATATTAGTTTTTTCAGATATTTCAACAGTGTATAGTTACCGTATAAAAAAATTAATTCAATCAACTTTTTAGTAATAACATTTATTAGTTCAATAAGAATAACAATGAGCAGAGTAAATTACAACAAATGTTCAAAATTGCCTCCGTCGGCATCAATGCATTTCTTAAACACTTTGGAAAATTGTTGATGATGGTCACGCATTTTTTCACCGTAATCTCGTCCCCGACGTGCATCAAAGCTGTTTTCAGTGCGTCAACGGTAGCGTATCGCATAGACGAGACTTTTTGCTCCAAGAAAGGCCAGGCGGAGTAGTCCATCGAGTAGAGATCCGGTGGGTTTGGCAATCAAACATCTTTGCCCCAAAAGCCAGGAAATGGCTCTTTGCAGACAGCGATTTTCGAATTGGCGAAATGTGCTGGCGCCCAAACCTTGACGTTCTGTTCCATGAAGACCAAGCGCAACTTCCCTGTGGAAGTCGCCTTTGGCCCATAATATAGCTACTATTTCTAAAGAATTTACTTGGTTCTAAGAGGGAGGTCACAAACTAATGCGATCAGCATGAACAGATCGCAGTCTATATCATCTGTGATACTATTCACAAATATTATTGTTTGTTATGATATTATTTACTGTTACTACCATCTGTGACACTACCAACACATACTATTGTTTGTTATGATAATATCTACTGTTACTGCCATCTGTAATACTATCAACAAATACTATTATTTTTTATAATATTATCTACAACTACTGTAAAATTATAATTGTGAATATTCACAAAATACTGTTTATTATTGCAAATATCAGTAAAACACATTTAAAAGATACTGAATGAAGTGCATTCTAGCTATAAATGGCTCTAAACTACCCATGACTATGTTACTGACATAAATATGAAGCAATTAAAGTTTTTAAAATTCTAATATGTGAATATTCTAATGACTTGAAATTTAACTTTAGTTTTATAAAAAGTAATTATATTTATGAAATACATTCCAATTCCAATTTCCAATTATTTATGAATTGCATTTTCCAATTATTTATGAAATGCATTTTCCAATTCCAATTTTTAATGATTTATGAAATGCAGTTTTCAACTCCAATTTCCAATTATTTATGAAGTGTATTTTCCAATTCTAATTTCTAATTATTTATGAAATGCATTTTCCAATTCACAAATAAAGGAAAACATATGAAATGCATTTACTTTCGAGTCCTTAATAAAAGGGGGGGGGGCGGCATTTATTATTTTTTGGAAAACTTTTGCACCTACCCTAAGCTTATAAAGCTTCCAACCCCTCCCCCCACTTCTTCGCTTATTAATTTTTACTTCTTACATACAACAACAACAAAAATCAGTGAAAATTAGTCTTAAAAATTAGAAAATGATTATTTCAGTCACTAACAAAAACTTTCAGTGTAAATAGGCTTTAAAAAGAGCTTTTAGTTTGTTTCTAACCAAAGTATAAAATTTATATCAGCATGTTAAATCCTATTAAAATTATTATAAAACAGCTGTAAGAAAATGCATATTTGAACACAAGCCATACAAGTAGATTTAATTAATTTTATGCATGTTTTGTGAAAAATATTAGTTTAGATTTATAAACTGAAATTTTTTATAAAAAATGCTTATATTGTAACATTAAAAAATTTCCCCCTTCCCTTTTTTTTTTTTTTTTGTTAACCTTCTTCCCTCACCTGTTTATTACATCTGGACTAAAATTCCCACTCTCCCCCTTTTCATTTAAATTATTTCCTTCCCCCCTCCACCCATCCCTTGCATTAAGGATTCAAGAGTAGAAATTTTCTTCAAAAAATGAGTAATAATACTATATCATTTCATGATTAAGTGGAATAGTAATCATCATCCTCCACTGATATTTAATTTTTATGCAGATACATGATGTTGGTCAAGTAAAAACAAGTTTTGCAAAACTATTAAAAGTTTGTTGTCCAAGCAATTCATCAATTGAAAAGACGTTTTTCAGTGCTTTAGAAGAATCAAAATGGATGTCTCAGGTATATGTTTTTTAAATCTAATACTTCAACTTTGAGATATTATTTGTTAGATTTTTTTTTTAAATACAATTAAAATATACTCAACAATAACTATAAATAAAGCCTCTATAACCTCTATAACTTTTTTTAACTTAACTTTTTTAACTTTTTTTAAGTAAAATCTTTTTGGCTATATAAATATTTATAAATATAAATTTTGTTGTTATTATTCTATTTTTAACAAAAAAGTTTTAATTGTGACTTAATAAGTTATATTTTTTCTAATAAGATCTCTTCATTACTTCAATTGGCATGTTCAATTTTAACTTTAATTGATGTACAAGGTTCCTCTTGTTTAATAACATTGGGTGATGGATCTGAAGTAACTGCTCAGGTTGGAATTTTTTTTGAATTTTTTTTTGAATGTTTTTGAACAATATGAATGAATGAATATGAAAACAATATGAAATATAATTTTGAATGTTTTTGAACAATATCAAAACAATATGTTATATAATATATATAAAACATAATAAAATATGATATTACATATATATATAAAACATATCAAAATAATATATTTTATAGTATGTAAAACATAGCGAAATAAAACATATTGCATATGGAAAACATCAAATAAAATAAATAGTATAAATATATAGTAAATATGAAAGCCTTGAAATTAAAAAGTATACTGATTATTGCTTTATTTGTTTCTTTATTTAAAATAAGTTTATATTGAGGGTTTTTTTTGTTTTGCTTTTTTCATATTTATATTTAGTATTTGAATTAAATTATTATATTTTTCCATTGCATATGTATATATGTTTATTTTTTTGGCTTTTGTTATAGTTAGTAAGTCTTGTTCAAATACTTTCTGACCCTTTCTACCGGACTATAAAAGGTTTTAAAGTACTTATTGAAAAAGATTGGCTTGCTTTTGGTTATCGCTTTTCTCATCGTGGTAATCATACATTTCCTGCCCAGCCAACTGTTGCACCTTTTTTTTTGCAGTTTCTTGATTGCGTTCACCAGGTGTGCATTAGATAATTGCTTTCTACTAATTTATTACTGCTTTAAGAGGGTCTTTAATAAGACTGAGCACTCTTTTTATATAATTCACTAATATGGTTATATATATATATGTATATATATATATATATATATATATATATGTATATATATATATATATATATATATATATATATATATATATATATATATATATATATATATATATATTGTTTTATTTATACCAAGTTAAAATAGCTTGGAATATTCTAATCATGTCATAATATTTCTGATCAACTTTTTATTTATTTTTTATCAATAATTATTTTTTCAATCTTTAAAAAAAATCTTTTTTCAAGGTTGTAATTCAGTTTCCTCATGCATTTGAGTTTAATATTTACTTCTTGAAATTTTTGGCATACCATCATACATCAATGCGCTTTAACACATTTTTTCTTGACTCTGAACATGAGCGATACCAACATGGCTGGTTTCCTGATTCAGATGTTCGTCTTAATGAGGAACATACACAGAAGTTAATTTCCTCACTTGGCAATGTTAGTCGTGCTCGCAAAGATGCTGCCATTTTAAAAGCAGAGCTCTTAGCTGAGCAACAAGCTGAACAGAAGAAAAAGAAAAACGCTAGCATGTCTTTATGGGACTATTTAGATATTCAATCAGAAAAGTTGACTTTGTTTCATCAATTTAGTTACCATCCAGAGCTAAGCAAAGTAAGGTTTTGTTACAGTTTTGTACAGCTTTCTAACTATTTTGTTAGAAATTTTTAATTCAGACAATTTAATTTAGTTGTCATTAATTTTTCAGCTAGACAACTCCAATTAAAAATTATTAATTTAAATTTAACTTAAGGTTAATTTTTTTTTTAAAGGGGGTTTTGCAGCCATTTTGCAATATATCTAATCTTGAAATCTGGGACTACTATATTGCAGAAAATCTTTATACTGGTCCAACTTATGACCCTGAAATAATATCAGACTTTGATATGGGAACATCAATCAATGAGGTTGGAGTTGATACTAACACATCAAATGATGTTGATCGAGAAGACTCACAAAGATGTGTAACAGGTTGTTATGGAACAACAAAAGATTTTCCTCGAGATGAGTGTTCTTATTTATTAAATGAACTTAGTCGTTTAGCAGAAGAGCTTGACCAATCAACCCAAAAATGGCAGAATGTTTGGATGAAAATTGATATTAAAGAAATACTTCATAAGCAACAACGATCAGTATGTCAACTTAGTTTTTTAATAAGAGGATTTATAGCTTCTATAAAGAAATTTTTATACAATATTTGTTTGGAATTTGATTTATTTAGCACAATTGGTCTTTATTCTGGACTAGAGAAAGACGCATTGCAATGCATAAAAGAGCCACCTTAGATATGGTGCTTAAGGTATATAAGATTTATTAACTTTATTAATTTCATTAAATTTATCTTAGAAGTTTTTTTAATTAAATTGAATTTTGTTGTTATGACAGTGTGTTTGAAATTATTTATTTTTGTATTTTTATTATATGTATAAAAAAGGGAAAGTTAACAGATAATGTTCAAATACGCAGTGAGTTTGGATTAGATTTTCCTCATCAGTTTCAATATCATAATTACATTTTGTCATCGATATGTAACTACTGTTTGCAAACAATATCAGGATTGCATGGAGGTAATCATTTAATATAATTGTGTGCATATGAGTGAATTTTCAATTTTATCTCTTTATTTGCTTACTGTTACTCTGTATAACTTTACCATTACTCTTTATATGATTGATGTATACATTATGCCTTGTTTCTGTGCTTGTATATGCATACTTATTACATCTCTGGAGTTCAAAATATATAAAAAATATTATTCTTTGTGTTCAGGTATGCAATGTGTACAATGCTTTTATAATGTGCATGAAAAATGTCAATCAATGGTTCCTACAGCATGCCCAAAACATCCAAGTTTAATAGATCAACCTGTCGCAGATATGTCAATCAGTAGCCACAGTTTACCTGGTGTAAGGTTTATTTATAATTTATTAACAGAGCCGTAGCAATGGGGGATTGAAAACCTTAACTCCCAGATTTACAAAGTTTTGTAGGTAATATTGTAAAATTGTAGGTAAAAAAAATGTTCTTATCAGATAAAAATAGAAATGCAGTTTCATAAAAAATATATCTTAGTACAGCCGATCACATTAGTTTTTGACGCTTGCTACGGTCCTGTCTATTGATTTAAATTTTGTTGATAAAACATTTGACAAAGCATATTTTTCATTTATTAAGTATTTTTAATAATTTAACGAAGAAATATGATAATCTTCTTAAAAATCAAATTCAAAAAATCTGAAGTTCAATCTATTCGAATTTTAGTGATGAAAAGATTTGACCAATGTAAAAAGAGGCGATTCTACAAATAAAATGAGGGATGGGGAGAGTGAATCCTTAAAAAGTAACCCCTCCCCATCACTTTAACACACACACCGTAAAATCGCTTCTGAATGTAATCCTAATACTTAAATTTATTTATAAATTATTTTTTTATTTTGAAGTGTTACTTCACAATAAAAATGACTCACACAAAAATTTCAAGGTGCCAATCATATATATATATATATATATATATATATATATATATATATATATATATATATATATATATATATATATATATATATATATATATATATATATATATATTTTTTTTTTTTTTTTCGTAATTCACCTCTCCAAGGCCAAGAAGGCCGCTACAAATGAGGAGGCTACTTGTGGTTATAACCCTCTCTCAAATCTATAACTCCGAAACACGAACCTTGACGAACAAGGCCGCTGCGTGGAGAAACAAGTTGAGCGTGGTACTACCAGGGACGTGGTGGGAATCGAACTCCGAATCTTTCGCTTATGAAGCGAGCGTTCTATCGCTACACCACTACCGCATGATATAAATTGATATAATATAATATAAATTGACAAGAGTGGACTAAATGTTTTATTATTGTTACTTAATATTATTAGAACATAGTTAATAGACTTTAAATGGTTTGGAAACTCCGTAAAATTCATTGTTTAACTTATTGACACAAAAATGCACACAAACTTATTAACGTTGTTTAACGCTTGTAACATAATGTGATTTTAGAATTTCATTAAATAAACTCTTGAAAATGAAGTAATATTGTTAGTATAGATTCTACACTGTTTTTTAAAAAGAGCATTGTTAGAGATGATAAAATGTTTAATTAATTACGGATCGTAAGCAAGAAACGAACACGTTTTCTGCTTTATTAGAGTATAAATTAGAAATTCATTTAGCTAATTTACTCATTAAGATTAATGAGCAAATTAAATAACTGAATACTGTTTTATAAACTCGTTGATAGTCTGGAGATGTACTTCGAGTCAGATGGTATTTAAACAGGTGATTTGCAAATATTTACGAAAGGAAAATTACTATTTTAGTTCATTATATTCTACAAATACAAGATGCTTTGTTTTATTTACTATATATTTATAAATACAGTAAAATATTTTTAAAGCATTTAAAATAATACTGGTTTAGAGTCTAGCAACAATATACTCAAGGCTTTATCAGCTTTTCACAGTTTTAAATATATTTACTATAGAGTATTTTATATATGTTACAAAGCAAATCAACTATGGAAAAGTCTTTGAAAGTCTTTGTGAAACGCAATTTAAGCCAGATGATAAAAAAGTTGTAAACAATCACTACAGATAATATATAGAATGTAATAATTATTAAAACATATCATAATGACGTTGCGTTATATCACAAACTCTTGTTACTATGTATTACTTTAGTGTAGAAGTGCATGTAATATTACTATATAATCTCCCAATGTTAGAAAATAGATAATCAAGAGGTGATCTTGTACAAATATATTGGTTTTAAGTAGTTTAAATATTGTATATATATATATATATATATATATATATATATATATATATATATATATATATATATATATATATATATATATATATATATATATATATTAGGGTGTGTCATACTTTTTTTTTTTTTAATTTTGACTCGCATAATTTAAAAAAGGGTGAGGTATAATATTACAAGTTTAGAACCGTCAACAAAAAAAAAAAAAAAGTTTTAGCTACCAGGGAACCAGAGACACTATTTTACCAAAAACCCTGGGGGAGAGGGAGGTATGAATTTAAAAAATTGAAGTATTTTTTAAAAAAAAACTTACAAAACGCAAAAAAATGTCATCTCTATTTAAAAAAAAATAAAATTATTTGTATAAAAACAACTAGAGTGGTTTGCCCCCCTCCCACTACCTCCCACTAAAACTGTAAAATTAGGTTGTTTTGGAATTAAAAATAAAACATTTATATAGATCCACTAAACATCTACTGGCACATTAAAATAAAGTACAATAAAGATTAATTCTTAAACATTGTCAAGCCAATAAGGTTTTGTTTAGATAGATTTCGTGACATCAACTTCTGTGACAACTCTTGTCCTTTAATTCAACTATCTCTTCTATCTTCTGTAAAAACATTTTCCCAAGCCTGGGTAACTTTTTTTACACATCTTTCGACAGCTTGAGTGTGGCAACACCAGTTTGGTACAATCATTGATTTAAAAAAATACTCTTTGATGTCTTTAGTTGTCATGCAACAAGTCAAAGGTGGTTCAAAAGCTTCATACCAATCAATAAGGTCCTTGAGACAAATTGCTTTAGTATTGATATCTGGTGTCCTTCTTGGTCTAACAGATAGATCTCCAAGTTGTACATTTTCATCACCTTCTCCTCTTATTTCAAGAATTTTGTTTACACTGAAATCTCTCTCCTCTTTATTTTCAGAACAAAGCATAGTTTGAAGAATAGATTCAGAGAAGGCATACCAAGCAGATCGCTTAATAGTTGGAATGACCATATTTTGAATATCGAGTCACTGGTGTTGAAGCAACTTAAGCTGGTAAAGAACATGTTTTGGTCCTTCTGTCCAACTATATTCAACTTTGATGTTAAACCAGACAGGAAAGTACACTCCTACAATAAACTCGACTAGTTTAAGAAGGTTTTGGGCTGCATCGCCTTGAAGACCATGATGAGATACCCAAATTCTACATATTCTATTGGCTGTTGTTAGCCATCTGGCCGTGTTAACAGGGCCAATTTCCAGAAGTCCTAATTGCTGAGGAACATAACCACTGCGTATAGCTTTAACTATTTGATAGCCATAATACTGATCTATTGAAAGGTCTTTAACCACATCATTACTCAAGTTAATTAGAGGCTCACCAGTTTCCACTCTACTAAAAAAAGGGTTAATTTCAAGATTGGTTGCTTCATCAAGTAAGCTTCCAATGGGTCCACTCCATTTTGTACCGCTTTTAGATTCTCCGTCTAACAATTTAATTAAACGTTTGAGTGGTAATTCATTGGTATGTAGAGCGCAGACAATCCAATTTAACTTTCGCCCTAATTTCAGCTCCATAAAGTGCATTACTCCTCCGTCCCAACCAGTGTTTACATTGGTAGAGTCTCCGCCAATTGCTTTTAAGTGTGTACTAATGTTTCTCATTGCAGTATACTCAATAATCTTATCTGCTATAATTTCAGCATGGTTCTTTTTTGCTTCTTTAGCTGGAGTGAAATGAAATAAATACTTACCATCACCAGAACAAACAGTGTAATGTTCTTCTTTTACTTTAGCTGGATACTGTCTGTCTGATCCATCTACAGTTAAAAATACTTTAGTAAGATCTTTTCGCTCATCAAAAAATATGCAGTCAATAATCTCTTTATCGCAATAATCATCTAACTGAACAGCAACTTCATTCATGACTTTATCCCTAGCTCTCCGAACTTTACTGTGATCTATTATTAATCTAGTGTCACTTTGGGATACAAGTCCTCCGTCTACCCATGCTGCAGTAGCTATGGCTGCAGTTGCTCTTAAACCAACACCATATCGAATACTGGCCAATGCATTATTAGAGATATCTTCATAATTTTTAGATTTTTTTAAATATTTTGTACAAGGCTTTTGAATAGAAAAAATCTCATTTTTATTAGATTTCTCTTCATAATTTTCATGTTCGTTATCTTGTTCATATTGCGTATTATTTTCTTTTTGATTAGTGTGTTACACTCCACCAAATCAAATAGTTTGTCAATAATTAAATTAAACTTTTGTTTTATAAATTTACTTGCTCTATTTTGAGAAAACAGGTTAGCTTTGTTCCATGCAACTTTAAGTCTTGCTACCAAATTATGTTTTAAACTAATTACGGGAGGCACAAATAAAACACTGGCCATTTGCTATTTTTCTGAAAGTTTATTATAAATATCCTGGATCAAATCAGAATTACTATAGTTTCTTCTGTTTAGTTTGCTTGTTTCTCTTAAAAAAATACCATATCTTAGGACATCTCTCAGTGTTGGCAGTTCAGCTGTTGGCAACTCTTTTCCAGATCCCAAATATTGGCGTAGACAAGAATCATTTTTCCATCTTGTTCCAGCAGCCATTTTAAATTTAATTATACTTTGTATCTAGTAATTTTGAAAATTATATATATATATATATACATATATATATATATATATATATATATATATATATATATATATATATATATATATATATATATATATATATATATATATATATATATATATATATATATATATGTATAACTTGCATAACAAATATTAAAACAAAAAACTTTAGAATGATGTTTTCTGTGTAGCCATTTAGAACCATCAGTTAAAATGTATAACTTAAATTACATACAAAACTACATCTCTACCCCCTATTTTTATTTTTGATTATGAGAACTTTATGCTGATTAAGAATCGTATAAAAACATAGCTCTGAAAACTAAAGCAAAGTACTCTAATTAGATCTTGAAGTTTAAAATATTACACAAAAAACGCTAATATTCGCTATCTTTTTTAAATGCAACAAAACACTTTTTTATAAATCTTATTTTTAATTATGCAACCCGGTTTTTATTTTCATCAATACTAAAATTTACATTGTTTAAAAAAAAAACAATTATTAACTATAATTAAAAATAAACTTTTTTTTTACATAAATTATTCTTTATATTTAAAAAATTAATTAAACTTTCAAAAGTAATGTTGCAGAATAGTGGCGTAAAATTCTGTTTGTTAACTTTTGCCCTCTTGCCCTTAGTTACTGATTTAGGGATAGGCAAGGGCTTCAGTACATACATCGACTGATTTAGGGAGAACTCGCAAGAGAGTTGATAACACATCGAAGGGTCAGGGTTGAGGCAGGTATCAATTTATATCATTATTCTTCCTTGAAGCCCTTGCCTATCTCTAAATCAGTAGCTACTAAAAAACAGTTTCGTTTTTTGTTGACAATAAAAACCAGGTTGTTTATGTTATTTTCAAAGTTTACTTTTGAATGAATTTTAATCATAACAGAGTACAAAAATGATGGTGAATAATATCGTTTTTAGTGTAATTTTTAAACTTCAAGATCAAATTAGAGTATTTTGCTTCAATTTTCAGAGCTATGTTTTTATACGATTCTTAATCAGCATAAAATTTTCTATCATAATCAAAAATAAAAATAGGGGGGAAGAGATGTAAAATAACGCCACAAAACTTTAAAAAAATAATAATTTTTAAGTATTCATAAAAATTTCTGAAACAGTATAACTATTAAATGAATTTTACTTATCTTGCTTTCTTATCTTCCTTTCCTTATTCCTAAATTCTTAAGATAAGGTTGTTGTAAAACAGATATAAGTCTAAAATATTGAAAATGACCCTGAAAGTATAAAAATATCAAAAATTCACACTTTTCGGCAATTTTCAAGGGAGTTCCCTGGTAGATTAAACTCATTTAAATTCAAATTTTTTGATATTTCTGAATTTCATATGTTAAACCTCACCCTTTTTTAAAAAATGCTGGTAAATATGAATTTTTGAGTTATGACCAAAGTATGACACACCCTAATATATATATATATATATATATATATATATTATATATATATATATATATATATATATATATATATATATATATATATATATATATATATATATATATATAATGTTAATGCAATATATATAAAAAAGTGTTTTGTTTAATACTGGAAATACTAGAGATTCATATGACAATAAACAAGCTTGGATAAACATCTCTGAAGATTTAATAATAAAATAAAAAAAACGAAAACATGATTTTATAACTAATCTTTATATTCAAAACTTTTAAAAATCAACATTATATATAAAATGTATAACTTGGATCTTTGAAACAAAAATTATGCATATATATATATATATATATATATATATATATATATATATATATATATATATATATATATATATATATATATATATATATAATACATATATATTAACCTTTCTTTTGTTGTTCTCCTGTTTTTGTTTTTTTGCTTAATGCTTATTAACAATGTCTTTAGCGAAGAAATGACTTCAAACTTCGAAAATATAAACCTAGTATCAAAGTAGAATTTTTACTATCTTTTTCAATTTTTAAATTTTGACTATCTTTTTCAATTTTTAAATCACATTTTTCAATAATAGCCCTGTAATATTTATCTAAATCTTTATCACAGATTCTTTTTTTGATCAAAAAATCTGCCTATACTTTAAGTAAGTTTCGACTGTTCTGTATATAAAAAAATATTTTTTCTGCTATAATTAAAATTTGTTTAAACTCAATCGTAATGCCAGTAAGTTCACCACGATTAAGACAAGTGACAAGCTTTTGGTCAGTTATATTTTTTGTTTTATTTTAACAGCTTTTTAAAATAGACAATGTTTTTCGTAATTGAGTATTATTAGTTCAAGAATTTTGAATTTTGTTTAAATTTTATGAATAACATAACCTCCAAGTTTTGCAATCCATACTTTTCCCTATCACATATTGCAGGTGTATTTAATGTCTGATCATTGTTAACAATAGATATGTTTTTATAATAAGATGATATACTATCTGCAAGTTTGCTTAATAATAATGTAGCAGAATCTTCATATTCATCACCACAATTTAAAATTGTCTTGCTGTGAGTTACTACATTCCCAAAATAACTAACTAATAAAGACTCGTTTAAACTTTTAGAACAAATTTTAAGAAGAGTTATAAACTGCTCAATAATTTAATTGCCATAAAAAGAGCCTCCCATAATCTTGCAAAACATATTTTTTATTAGTGAAAACAAAATCTCGATGTTAAAGTTTAATTAAAAATTTTTATCATTCTCAGCAGCTATATCGTTGATAAGTGTTTTTTAGAAATTATGCAATTTTTAAAACTTTTAAAAATACTCATCTTCTAAAATAGATTCAGCATAATTTTCAAGTTCGTGATCTTTTACAAAAGTTTCCAAAAGCATCACAAATATTATTACAGTTTCCTCCTTCTACAGCCATTGTATATTATGTTGTAAATATTATCTTATGTAGATGTTGTGCACGGTCAATGTCACGTGATTGCATTTTCAACTTAATATAGTTTTTGTTACGCAAAGTTCCGAGTTTCCAAACCAGTCTATTAACTATGATTAGAATAAACGCTCTATTAACTATGATTAGAATAAACGCTCCTATATTTACCTCCTTTTTAATTAATGTTTAGGTGTTTTAAACTTGGTTTGGTGCAGGTGTTTTATTTGTGTAGATGTATTAACTTGTATTTGTGTAGGTATAAACTTGAGTTGGTGTAGGTGTTGTAGCATGTAGAGTATGAACGACAGTAACTATTTGTAACTATTGCATTTAATGAATTTAATTATTAATTTAAGCAATTAAGCAAATATTATTTTAGAACGAAAGAGTGATTTCTCGAAACTTCAAAGGAACTTTATATAAAAAAGGTAGACGCATTCGCCAATGGAAATCTCGTTGGTTTGTATTGGATGCAGAACGTAATCATTTAACCTATTATCTTTCTGAAGAAGATACTCAACTTCAAGGGTACATCAATTTGGGCGAAATGAGAGGTTGTCGTATCACAGGTACTTTACCAGCTGGTTCACCTAAATGGGCTGATGGTAGATGTTGTATTGAGGTAAAAATAAGTCATGTGTGTTACGTTCTTTTATTAAATTAGTAAGGCTGGTAGTGTTTAATCTGCTCATAAATAAAACATGGCAGTTTGTATCTGTGTTGCGTCTTTAAGTATTTCACGAGGGGGGATTTTTATTGCGTATAAGAATATTTTAAAAATTTTGTGTATTGTATAAATATATTTTTAAAATTGTTTAGCTTGTGACTACAAAACGAGATCACTTTTTCCTTGCGCACAGCCATGAAACTGCTCAAGAATGGGTTGAACGACTTAACGCTTTGAATGCTTAGTAGCACTTTATGATGTCCTCATAGATTCATTCTGTGTTGATAGCAACAATTAGTTAACGACCACTTAAATATAATCATCTTCTATTTAAGCACGTCAAAGAAAATTATATTTGTTAAATTATGCAGAGCGATATTTTTACGTTTTTATTCTAAAGGCTAAAAAATGCTTAATTTTTAACATGACTTGTAAATCAAACCATTTGTATTTAAAACCTTATTGCCATTGTTAGGGTTATTAAAGAATTTTTATGCAGGGTTGTTGTTTTTTTTTTTTTTTTGTATATCAATTGATCCGAAGCGTTATCTTTAGAAGTTATCTTAAGAAAAAGAAGTTATATTTAGAAGTAATACCATGAAATTTGAAGAATAACACTTGTTATTTATTTGCAAATAAATGACAAGTGTTTTTCTGTGTTAGATTCGGCATCTAACAAATTTGAGCTAAAACTTAAAGCAAGTATGTTTATAGAATGGTTAAAACCTGGTATGAATAAACAGGTTAACCTTGTACAAATGACAATTTTTGTTTAGCTGTTATTTTTTGTACATATTGCGTAACTATATACATATAATATATATATATATATATATATATATATATATATATATATATATATATATATAATATATATATATATATATATATATCAAGCCTTGTTTTAAATAAAAAAGTGCTTAATGCATTAGCTTAACGCGATTTTGACGTCATAGTTATCTTTATTTTTTTATAGACGTTATATTTTTATAAGACAGTTTTCGGGGTTTTTTAAGTTTTAAAAGCTTTTTTTCTTATTCTTTTTAAACTTTTGTTCTATGAGAATTGTTGAGTCCAATATTTTTTTCTCTAATAACTTTTCTGGCTTTTTTTTCATCTAGTTTTTTATTTATTTAGCAGCTGGTGTAGCTTCGTTCTGAGCCATTGCAGAGAGTTCAGTCATTTTATAACTTGTGGTTTTTTTAATTTTTGTTCTATTTTCTTTACTACTAGAAATAGGCTTTTATCTATTTCTTAGCACACTGAGCACTGATTTATTAATGTTAAAAAAAACTGATTAATTAATATAAAAGATACTAGTTTAACGGCATTTTTGATCTAATTTTTTGAGCAATACTTCTTTTGTTTTAGTCTATTCATAGAATTTTTTGAATTTATTTTATTAGTTTTATCGAGTGAGACTTCTGAATCGGTAGCTTTTCGAGAAAAATAATTCTCAATTTTGTCATTAAATGACATGTAGTCAATGTAGAATGTAGCAAATTTTGCTACATCTTGAAAAATAACGCCGATTGCAGTTTTATTTAGAGTTATTTTTTAACGATTGAGTGGAAATATGCCTGTATTTTCAAAACCACTACGTGCATTTTCCGCTTTTTTTATTTGCAATAAGGTTTATTAGCATGGTTGGAAACTGCCGGTTACTTAAACTTAAACAAGAAACCAAGTAAACTTCTAAAATTTGCTTTCATTTCGTCTTTACTTCATCAAAAACTTCAACATGTAGTAGTTGCAAAAAATGACTTGTGTGAGTTGGCAATCAGAATAAAATTATGTTGTTTGATTTTTTTTTTTTTTTTAATTTTATTTAAGTGCCCTTTCCTTTATATTAGGGTTTAATAAAATCATATCGATCAAGTCCATGCCTTTCCTTATATTAGGGTTTAATAAAATCGTATCGATCAAGTCCATGCTTGCGGACTTTAGTTAAAGGAAGAAGTTGAAATTGAAGAAAAAAACTTTTATTTTATGCTAATTTCAAACATAAATAACTTATGTAAATATAAAAAAAATTAAAAATTATTATTATTTTAAATTAAACTATTTTTTTTTTATTTTTATTTAAATTGCCTCAAGAAGTCCCGACGGTCTTATCACGGAGCACCACTGATGAGCATTTAATAAAAAGTTCACACCTACTTCCTAACCGATGCTGCAAAACTTGCCCAGAGGTGGAGTTTGAACCACAGATCCTTTGTTTCTAAAGCAAGTGCGCTGCCACTGCGCTACAGCTACTTTAAACTCATTACCCCATTCAATCATTACCCCAAGATATTTTCCAACACTTTCGCATGTCATAGATGGGATTTCAACATCCTGGTTCCTCCATCTATGAGTCCTCGTAAGGACTTTTATGAACCGTTTGCCTTTTACAGAAAAAACGCGTAATGACTGACACTTTGCTGGGTTTACAGCTGAAACCCAGCAAAGTATCATTAACACATTCATCTCAACTGAGTCCTTCACCAACAACACGTAGTCATCAGCAAAAGCCATGGAAGAAATGATGTGACCTTCCAGACCAAGACCGCAGCCTCTAATCTCTCGGTTGCCTCTAATTTCTCGGTTAGTTCATCTATTACTAGATTGAACAGCAAGGGAGATAGAGGGCAACCCTGCTTCACTCCCGAATTCATACATAGAGGTCAATTCTTTGTTTTCCCAAATGTAATGCTCGCGAAAGCTCCCGCATATAAGCTGTCTACCACTTTTATCACACTTTGCGGTATGCCTTTACTCAGCAATGCCTTCTCTATCAAGTCATGTAAAATCGTATCAAACGCTTTTGCAAGATCGGCAAATGCGTCTTTTTCATTTCCTGTAGGAGCAAGCCGTCCGGACCCCCTGAGGCATCCTTCTTGTCTACGCTGATGTTGATAGTTTTACTAATTATAGTTACAATGATAAATATTGAAAAACTAAGCTATTAGTTTTTCAATATTTATCATTGTAACTTCCGTATTTTAAAATTTTTTGATAAGCACGTCTTACTCTTAAAATGCCGCAGATGCAAAAAAGGACACACAAAAAAGGACTGTTGGCTGGCGTAAGGCGGTCTGAGGCTTGCCGAAGACCATTAACCTACTAGAGTTGACTGGCGGTTAATTAATGACGTAATAAAAACACGTCAGTAAATGCGTTTTATCCGTCGAGTCGTGAACTGCTGATTGCCTTGAGGTTAAGGAAGAAACGATGGTCCGAGAGATTAAACGTTGTGTGCCCGATAGACAGGTTATAAATGTTAATTAATTGTTTTTTGAAAAAGTTTCATAAAATAATAGTTAGTACTTTTAACATAACCAAAAATTTTATCTTTACAGTTTTTCGGATTTAAAAATATAAGTAAACGGGAAAATAAAAATTTATATTTTCATCTTCAGATGGTACCCTTGCGTCTGGGGCACTTGCACTACTGTATAATTTTGTAAATTTCTCGTACGGAATGGATATCGGTTAATTCACTTAAATATTGACCACTTGAAATCATTAGATGAGTTTTATAGTAATAAATTGAAAATGAAATTTTTAAAACAGAAAAAGGTAGAAACTTTAATAGAAACAAGTTAAAAATTAGTTAAAAATAACTACCTTATAATTTTATCACGTTTTTAATTTTTAATTTAAAACTTTATCACGTGGCTTACCCCGTTAAAGCGCGTAATTGTCTTAACCTGATACACATGGGAATTCCAACAAAGTTCATGATACAGAATCAATCGATATAAGTGTCACAATATATTTATTAACAGTACACTTAAGTATACTTATGCTATGTTATCTTATTATACGTTTAAAAATCTTTTAATTAAACTTAATTTTTTTTAAATTTTTTATAAAGTTGAAAATTATAGGACGTGAAGCTTGTGTTCCACAAAGCTGAGCTTTATGGAACACAAATATCACGTACTTTAATATTGAAACTGCTTGAAAGCTTGTTATTTGTGTTTATTCTCCATTTTTTCTATCAAAAAAGATAAACAATTTTTTATGAATTTTCCAGGAGGGATTTTATCAATTAAGATCATAAAGGGATTATATCAATTATACTATATGTGTCCAAATAGAGTTTGTTTATTGTTTAAATGTTAAATGTTCATTGAGCAATTTTTAATAAACATTGCTTATAATAAGTCATGATCATAATTAGAAACCAAAGAAAATGATAAAATTTTACTATTAACACAATATTGTTCTTTACTAAAGAACTATAATTTTAGAAATAATTTTTAGTCTAGAAAATTATTTCATTTTTTCAAATTAAATCATTTTTTTATTGATTAAAGGCAATTAATGTGCCTTTAATCAATTAATGTGATTAATGTGCAAAATATTATTTTAAAATATAATCATTACCTAAATAAAAAAAATTATCTGGAAAATAGGTATTGTTTTTGTTCATGGTTTCTGGCCAACTTTTTTTAAAAAACATCTATTTAATTCCTTAAAACTTTTCATGCTAATTATTAAGGAACTAATATATATTTAAAACAAATCCTTTATTATTTTAAATTTGATAATAGAAGCTACAAATCTAATTTTTTGTCCTTTTTAATAAATAACATGAACTTAAATTCAGTTTCTATATAGAAAGGTGTGACATTAAATATTAAATTATTCTACTTTGCTTTACTTTACAAAAAAGATGAAACAGTTTGTCAGCCTACAATTTTCTTTAAATTGATAACATGTAAATGAAATGCTTACCTATCTTTTGTGCTTCATAATTATTGAATCGATATTAACTAAACAAGTTACAACTATTTTGGATTTTAAAGCTAAATTTAGAAAATTTTCTAGTATTAATTTTACTAGTATATATATAATCTTATAAAAACCAATAAAATTTTAAATTAGTTAACGATGTAACTGGTGAGAGCAATAGGAATGCAACTTTTGCGCCAAAAGAATCTCTTAGAAATCTTAAAAGAAACCGTAGTTTCAATTCAGAGAGCTTTTCATTTTTAAATTTTTTTTCTTTTAATCTTTTCATTTTTTAAATTATTTAAAATAATTTAATCTTTTTTGTAAAAAGTATAGATCACTTTAATGGAGGCAAGAGCTGTGCTAATAATAATAGTATATATATATATATATATATATATATATATATATATATATATATATATATATATATATATATATATATATATATATATATATATATATATATACACACATGTATATTTATATATACACACACACACACACACACACACACACACACATATATATATATATATATATATATATATATATATATATATATATATATATATATATATGTATATATATATATGTATATATATATATATATATATATATATATATATATATATATATATATATATATATATATATATTATAGTGCACTGTTAAAATTTAAAGTTGATTAAAAATGTTATTTGAAACAACATGTTCTCTGGTTCACTCTTGGCTTAAGGAAAATCATCTTCTAAAAACAGCTAGAGCTTTTGAAGAAGAGCATGGTAAAGTAAGTACACATGTTTTTGGTTTATATATGAAAAAAAACTTTTATCTTAAGTATGAAAAAAAAAATGTTTTTTATTATTGATGTTTTGAATATTTTAAAACAACAATAAATTTTTTTTTTTTTTTTTGAAATTTTAGATAATTTTGCTTTGTTTGAGATCTAGGTTGAATTACTTTTGAAGTAATTTTTAGATTATAAAATAGCTTGTCTAATTATCAACCCCTAAGCATTATTATCCTATATTAGTTATATTATGCATACATATTTTAGGGTCATTCCCAGAAGTGTATCAGTATCGAATTACTAGTCCGGTGTATAATTTTTTTTTTTGTATTTTTTCTTGACTGAAAATAATGAAAAAAATTGCAGTCCACATTAAATAAACAACTACAAAAATTTTTATTAAAAATACACATGGGTTCTAGAGATATTATCAGTTTAAATAATGCTGACTCACCATTTTAGTGATTATCTGAAGCAGCTACAAAATAATTTATAATTTTTTGAATTAAATTTTAATTCAAAAAATGTTTTGTTAAAAATTAAATACTATTATAGTATTTAATTTTTAACAAAACATTTTTTGATGGTTTCCATGATCCTCTTGTTACTTTTCATATTGCTAAAACAACTTTTTAATTGATGGCTGTTAATAAAAACACTATAAATTACGACATGTAATGTATAGTGCCAGATTGCCAGAATTCTTGCTTTTGTGAAGGAAAACACAGTAGAAAAAAATTATTTTTACAGATTTGTATTCTACTCTGTAAAGACTAAATGTTTGGCAACCCCAATGTTTAACAAAGCGCTGCCTCAAGGCCATTAGGCATGCGTTTTTTTAAACCTTGATTATAGTCATGGTTTAAAAAACCTTGCAAAATGCGCACACTTGGTTGCCTTGAGGCAGGGCTTTTTTAAACTTAGGGCAACCCTAATTATATGGAAAGATTTTGTATGTTAAATTATTTATAAAGTACAATAGTAAAAAGTGAACATTGACTTTTGCTCCAGTGATATCTTTGAACCTCATCCTGATATTAATAATTTTCAGCAAAATCTCCTAAAATTAAGTTTCTAGCAATAGTAAACAGGCGCCTGTTTTCTGGAGAATTGTTTTGCTGATAGAATGGAAGTAATGGCTTCGATTGGAAATTGCTGCAGCACAATGTAATGTAATGTATATTTATGCCAGTATTTAATTAAACAGATACAATAAAAAGATGCAAGTTGTTAAATAAGAAGCCAAGCAAGAATGAGTTATGGTTTATTGTAATAGAGATAATTGCTTGTTTGAGCATTGACCATGCATAAAATGCATGACCATGCATAAAACAGCATAAAATAGGCTAAAGCCTGCTGCTGCTGATAATGATGATGATGTTGTTGTTGTTGTTGATGATGATGATGATGATGATGATGATGATGATGATGATGATGATGATGATGATGATGATGATGATGATGATGATGATGATGATGATGATGATGATGATGATGATGATGATGATAATGATAATGATGATGATAAAAATGATGATGATAAAAATAATGATGATAATGGTAATGATGATTATTGGCAATGATAATGATAATTGTGTTGACAATAATCATGATGATAATAACGGTGATGATGATGATAATGACAATAATGATAATGATTTTGATAATGATGGTGATGATGATGATGATGGCGATGATGTTGATGATGTTGATGATAATGATGATAATGGTAATGGTAATGATGATTATGATCATGTTGATCATAATGATGTTTATATATGCATATATATACAAAATATAACATGAATTTAAAAAAAAAATAATTGCACTTTAGGATGTATAAACGCTTATGCAGCCCCGATCACAAATCCAGCCTCGGCTATATTTTTTCAAATCTGGCCCCAGTCAAATATCAACCCTGGCCGTTAACTAATAAGAAGCATATTTGTCAGCAGGAAGACAAAAGATTTCTACCTAAAGGCCATTATGAAGAAAATCACAGAAAGAGTCCCAGTTAGCTTTAAAGTAGTTGTAAAAGGTATAATTATAGGGTGATTCTGAAGATGAAGAAGAATGAGATAATAGTTTTAGATAGATCAAACCGTGAGCAAAAGGATCAGAAACAATACATATGCTTAGTAGTGAAAGTTAATGTTTTGTGTTGTTTGTAAAGCGAGTTGGAAAGTTGACTATTTGAGTTAGAAATTGAGGAAGGCAAAAGTTGTGGGCCTTAATGCTAGCAGAGTCACTGACACTAGAGCTAAGCCATTTGATATAATGAGCATTAAAGTTACCAACAACAACAGTATTGGCTGATAAAGAGAGAGGGCTTGGGGGTTGTCCATAAAGTACGTACGCCAAAAAGTTCTGAAATTTGACACCCCCTCTCCCCTTGTTGCCATGCGTACTTTTAAGTCCCTACCCCCCTTAAAAAGTACATACATTTTCATATACCTCCCCCCCCCCCCCCCAATTAAAAAAAAAGGTGGAGGGGATACCCTAAATACTTTAAAAGTATCTAGGGTACCTCCTCCACCTTTTTTATTTCAATAAATTTTTGTATTAAAAAAAAAAAAAAAAGGCAGGGGGTAAAAAACTTATAAAGTATTTATACGACCCGAAAGCCCTTTGTTAGCGGCAAAAGATTACAATTTAAAAAACATCATTAAATATATACAAATATAAATTTAAATATAATTAAATCTTGCAATATTGAAGAGATCGCTTGGCTGAGTGGATCATGTTATGGGTAGTGATAGCGGAGATCCGAGTTCGATTCCCAGTAAAGTCCTATTTTACTTTTTCTGTTTAATGAGACACATCAAATAAAAATAAACTATACTTAAGGCAGACGTTTTTTTTAGGCACCCCTCTTTAGTAAGTCCGTAAAAGTAGGCTACCCATACCTTGTAATTAGAGGGGGTGGGGTGTTGTGGGGGAGCAGCAAATTTTATGCCCTTTTGCTATTTTTTTTTAACAAAACCTAGCGATAAAGTTTGGAAGATTTTGAGACTAATGACACGTTTTTTTATTTTGAGGGGAGGGGGTCTCTGACCTATTAACCATTGCACTGCTAAAACCTGTTTTTTGTTGATTTAAAAAATAGGCAACCTATTTTTTGCACATGTACTGGCTCTGAGTATACTCAGGGCCAGTATATAAGGGGTGGCATGGGCGCCTGCAAAATTTTTTGATGTTTCTGATAGAACACTTTCACACATTGTGCAAACTCCAATTAAGTATGTTTATACCTATGCCAAATTAGGAGACCTTGTAAAAAATTGGTATGGCAGAGAGCTGTCAACAAATAGCCCTGAAACGCTTTCCCTCTGCTCAAACATGAGGGCATTTACTGTAGTAAAATTTTTAACTTAACGATCTAAAATTAAATTCAAATTTATTGACAGAATTTAAATTTTTGTTGAAAAATATTGTAACTTATAAAATGAAGATGTAAATGTCGATGCAAAATGTACAACCCCTCATTTATTTATTTTTTTGTGGAGAGGGGGTCGGAAAATTTTACAACATTAGTGCCCTCACGTTTGGGCAGGGGAGGGAATGCAAGCGTTTGAGGGCTTTTTTGTTGCCAGACAACCTCCATAACAATTTTTTGCAAGTCCTCTTCAAATGGCATAGGTATAAACATACTTAAGTTTGTAGTTTGCACAATGTGTGGAAGTAGTTTATCTAGAACATTAAAAAATTTTGCGGGTGTCCATGCATGTGTGTGCATAGAGAGAAACTATACCTTCTACTCCCTTTACAGTACATCTTTTTATGTTGTCAAATAGGATCTTTATTCAGAATTTTAACTTTTCTATTGACTAGCTGGTTAATTGTGTAAAATTAGAAATTCAAAGTATGTACTTTTAAAATGATGCCCACCCCCCTTCCCCCCCTCCCCATACGAGCGTACATACTTTATGTACGCTCGTATGGGGAGGGGGGGAAGGGGGAGGCTGTTTTTATAATGCCCAGGCCAAACATGTGACTATTGGAGTCTTTACAAATTAAAGGAAGATAACCATCAACACTTATCACAAAAAGCAAATTGGTCTGGTGAACTGGTGAGATAAGATTCAACAAAAGAAAAGTTTTTTCGAAGACCACAAATATTAGCGAATAATAGATTTAGAGAACTTGGTGATAACAATGGTTTTTTGTGTTTTGCAGTTTATTGTACTTTGGTCATTTTAAGTTTATTAAAGAACTCAATTCAAAGCATAGATAGTCCTCTGTACACTATTTAATAGTCAAAGCAATTGCTTTTTACTATTAAGAAACCCTAAACTGTAATAAAAGGCTTCAAATTTACCTCAATTTGCCTCAACATTGCACACCAAAAGTACAAACAGGGACACCATCCATTCGCAACATGGCACTGTTAGTGCTCTAATATTTTACAGCTGTTGATGAAATCAGCCTCTCTGAGAGCTACCACAGAATTTGGGAAACCTGACCACCAGCCTGCCTCAGAACCATAGAACTGAATTTTTTAGTTGTACTCTCATTAGTAGATAATAGAATAAGTTGCCTAGTCATAAAAATACAGGCACAATCAAAATCCATGCATTGAGTCAAGAAGATCCAGCATTTAACATCCTTAACTGGAAACAGTGTAAAATAAATACATCTATGCCAGCCTAATAGATAAGGAAGAGGCGCAAGGCTGGTCAACAGATAGAATCTGTTTACCCCTTTGTCTTTTAAGTCTTTGCCAAGAAGGCCTTCTACAAAACAGTAGCCAGAAGCATTTGACATTTGCCCAAGATGAGTACTTTTATCAAGAAACCATCTCTAGTCTTTACTCAATCAAGAGCCCCTAGGTAGGGGGTGTTTTAAGTTGGAGTTGGCATCTCCTAGCCATTGACAAAAAGAGCGTGTCCTACAAGGCAGCAGGACATGAAGCAGGTTGTACTGGCTTACATGTTACTAGTGGCAGGACAACCTGTCCCTTTTAAAATATAAAGTTTAAAAATTTTAACCTGTAGGTT